GTTATTCTGATGTATGACTATATTACAGTAAAGTTTCATCTTAATCCGTTCAGTAGTTTCAGCATTCAGATATAATCAAGCTTACACACTAAAATTAACACAGATAAATAAGATATATTTTATTAAAGTAGATGTCTAAACATAAATAAAGTTAGATAAGTATCTGTGGTACTAAAGAAAAGAATCGTTTTTTTATGGAGGTTCATACTTTCTCGGTACGTCGATATCTACTAGTGAATGGTTAACTGATCATATTGTTTTTGATATTTTGCATCTGCGACGCTTCGCGTTACATAAGGTACACCGATCATATTTCCGATAGTCACAACAGGTTGATAAGGTATTAAGTAAGACACACCGTTAACTCATATTGTAAAACTCTAATCTATATATTAATACTTGAAGCAAAATCTTTGTATCCTTTTTAAGAAAATTGCGCGGGCGGAGGAGTATGAAATTTCGGACACTTATAGTTTATATACAGAAGAAATGTAGGAAGCTAATATTTTATTTAAATTATGTGTACAAAATACGTTATATCTATAAAAATATTGGCACATATGCATATATATTTTTTTGTTTAATTAATGTTCTAATTTGGACCACTGGGCGCCCATTACTTTTAATCACGATAAGAAATATAATTATGATAATATTTCTATTATTCTGACTGCAGTGTAATGTCTTGGTGATGCAATGCATAAATAAGATTTATTTCTATTTTTATTGCAACAACACACTCATTTTGCCCCGATTAAAGTAAATACGAAAATATTTTGTAGTAATGGAAATACGGCGTCAGACCTGTTGAATGATTATGTTTGTTTTATCATGCATCTTAGGAGAGCCGTCCAAATGTATGGGACAGTATGTAGGGTGCTGGGGTCGGTGGGTCGGTGCCAACGATGGTAATCAAAGACGTAGAAGATATGACAATGTAATATACTCGTTTATGGAGAATAAACTATGTTTATGTAAGTGTAAAATAAAATTATATGTAATGTGTAATTTGTAAACTAAGAATTCACCCATATTATACTACTCTTACTCTAGGCTTTAAAATTATAATGTATACAAAATTATATATTTCATTTTTTGCATTATGCACATAAGTCGGAAAACAATAACAAACAAATTTATATTTTTAATATTATTTATTTCACAAACGAAAAATGTTCTCTCATATATCTCATTGAATGGGAAATTTTTGAGAAATATTTCATTATTCTGAATAGAAATAATAAACCACGTAAAACAATGGTTTTAGTAAAAAGTCATAAAATAAACGAGAACTTCGATTAACATTACATATTTAAAATATGTATACTATATCCAAGGCAGCCACAGTTATTGCATCTACTTTTGTAAATCGTTCCATTAATATCTACATATTGATTTCAGAGTCTCTGGGCTCAATCTGTGAATAGTGACAGAGATTAGTAGATTCTGGGGTTATGATACATTTGACATTATTTGCACGACTTAATTTTTTTCTTTAAAAACTAGTTACCTAATGATCTACTAGTTTGATACAGTCGGCATGAGAACTAACATGAACGGTCATCGATTATCACAAAGTCCATGGGGAAGTCTTGTTTGCACTGCAAATGGCGCTCAGTCACGTGCTGTAGAGGTGAGTTGAGGTGAGGAGACAGACCGCCGACTGCCGGCTGGATTAGTTAGTCTCCCTACGGAAATGTCAAAGTTCAGCATGTGCTCACTGATGCAACTGTATTAGAGAAAGCTCGTGAAAGTAAACCTAACTACTCATAAAAACACTATATTCCAGCAACAAATAAATTCTGTACAATCACAATTCATTTTAAGTATTCGTACATTTAAAAAGAGATGTGATTGTTGAAAGTCCTTTGTTTTTACCAGAATGCTGTATCTTATAGAAAACATTATTACTACAGTAAAGCAAAAATGGGCATCCGCATGCACTGCTTTACTCTATCTTTATCTCGCGATGACATTGATGTGTAATAAAATATTATTTTTATATAAGATTCATTTAGCTAGTTTTTCTTGCTGAACTTTTTCGCTCTGTCGCCATATAATCACCAGATTGAGATTTATACATTTTATTTTCATTGCATTGCTTGCATCGATTGATACGTATGACTTATTACTTGGATTGTAAAGTCGTCACGTTGCGACGCGACGGTGTCCTGTATTTAGATAGTTATCATTATTGATTCTCGTAATAGGTCGGATGCAAAAAGAAATTGTAAAAAATGGCCAGTTACAAAAACATATCATAAAAATAAAAAGTGCTAATAAAAATAGTAACATATATGAAATATTACTTTTATGAACGATTGTAATTACAGAGAATTAGTGACCAGTCAGTGTTCACGTAATGGCTTTGGTGGAATATTGAGCGAAAAAACCGAAGCTAAGGAACACGAGAGTTACTTAAAACGCCACCTATATAGCATAATTGAACACTACACTGGGCAACAGTCCACCGTTGTAATAATGAATGTTGATAATTATGCGAATATGGCACGCGGTGCACTGTATGCTTGCACGTTATAGTTTTTTAGGTTGCAGTTCTTCTGCGAACTAGATCGTTCGCTCTCGACTGAAGTCGAAGAAAGACGGTAGGCTTGTCACCTCGGAGTGTGTTCATATTTTTTATAACAATGTCCAGTGTCTTGTAGCCTACAAATATGCTCTCGGTTTATCTGGTCTAAGGTGTAATAGGTTTTTATGCGCCACAAATCTGAAGTCTTGTCATTTTAGCTATGTATATATCATATATATAAATATGTCTGTTTATTTTGCCAAAACTTTGAAGAGTAATTATCAAATGAACGAACTAGCAAATTCATTTGCAGCAAGTTAACATAGTTCGCCTTTGAGGCCGCTCTTCCGAACTAATGGGTTTGCGAACTCCCCAAGATTAGTGCATTTCGGAATGCAACAAAGTTCGGCGCGCCGCATCGCACCGCACTGGACAGCGCCTCGTCGGCTAACCTCGGCGCTTCACTATTCTAATTAAATTTGCTATAAATTGTTTTATATATCTTTTATATAATGTCTTCCGTGTTTTTATCTTGTTATCTATGTTTTTAATAATAATTATATTGTTTTATAAATGATAATAGTCTTGCAACATTAATTACGACAACATATATGTAATAATATGCATTTTTTATCTATTTTAATTCAGACAACAAAGTATTATTTATATAACAATATTAGCCCATGTTCTTATATATATATAGCTTACGGAGTAACATACAGAAAATATTAATATTCTCTTTCTGATCAACATACACACGTCAACTAATATATATAAGAGAAATAACCGAATTTATTCATATTTACATTAATATTTTTTTTTATAAAGAAATATGGAAACCCATAAATTAAGCTAAATCTTAATTTACGGTTTATTTCCATATTTTTAAGAAACTATGAAATATATGGGTAATCTATAACAGTTGTAATGCGGTACGTATCCACATGCATCGTACTACTTGTATTAAAACCTTATTTATTATGCAACTCAACTTTCCCGTGCACTTTTTACTCGTGCACCTTTTTATAGCAGCATCCTTCGTCCAGTATTATCAAATACCGAAGGAAAGTATTTTAATATTCATTCAATCCGAACATTTCTGGAATAAGTCTAGAAGTTTCTCTCCTATTATTTTTAAAGTATATTTTAGGAAAGGATTTGATCAATACAAACGGAATTAGGACGAATTAATAGTCTTTATTCAAATGAGCATTTTTGAATAGTATTTTTTTTATTCTGGCTATTCGAAACGCATATTGATCACAATAATAAACCTACGTGTTGCTCTTTTAATGAAATGTGGTACAGAAATATATTTTAGGAATTTTTGTGTTACGTTCACATTGGGTTTGTAGGAACAAAAATGTATGTACACTGAACAATGGATAGTTTATCTAACAATCATGTCGCCATTCTAGCTCTAAACTCGGCAAGTGTTTAGTGATATTAAGATACTAATACATATACTTTTTTTGTACTGCTACTTGTCTAGAAATCCATAACAAAATATCTGTTTAGCTTGGACGCTGCCTATCCAGAGATAGTCCAGAGATATTATTATTAAACCAAATAGAATATTCCAGTTAAAGTACACATATATAAAATAAATTTAAAAATACGTAAATAATGGTTGGGTTGTAATATAAGTTCGTTAGGTTTTTTTCGAAGAGGTATATTTAAACAAAAAACTATAATTATAACAATAGTTTAATAAATAACGTTTTCCCGTTACTGTTTATAACTTCTTCCCACTTCTCGACTATTTTGTTGATCCCGTTTCATCAAAAATCGACCGGTCTGGTGTCAAAGATGTGGTTGAGCCAATTTTTGAGGTGCTCTCCTCCTGCCTCCTGGATAGTTCATTTCAGAGACATAAAAACAGTTAAAAATTATATTATCAAAAAAAAACTAAAACACTCTTTTAAAGAGCAGAAAGAGCCGTTTCAAATGAATATATACACAATGTATAAATTTCTACAAATCGTTGTAAATAAAAAGAATAAGTAAAACCTTAATACAAAGAAGAAACTAAAGTTCCATTATTAGTACAATTGTTATTGCTTCCCACTCAATACCAATTACTTATATTTTTTCAGACCCAAAATGCCATTTACGGGTGACTATACTTTTATGAGAATACAAATACAAATCTACATAATCTACAATACATGTATGTAGCGTCGAGCGCTATACAGTTTGTCATATGTTTGTAAATCATTTAAAATACTCGAGGGTGTTTTTACCCATGCTCGAGACCTCCCCACTTTCATAGATTTCGTTGATGTCTTTTACAAGCGTAGTTATTAATTAAACTTAATTATCATTATGAGCTATTATATGCATATATTACGTGTGTACATTGCGTCGGAACCCGAGTGCGCTGGACATTATCCCCTATGTGATAGCGTGTAGGGCGCGCATGTGCAGCGAGTGCAGGCTATGTGACTAGTTGAGTGGTGCTTGGTCGCAGGGCCGCAGCAGTACGCGGCGGACAGCGCGAGCGCGGGCGGCGGAAAGGCCGCGGCGCCGTGCAAGGTGTGCGGGGACAAAGCTTCCGGGTACCACTACGGTGTCACTTCATGCGAAGGCTGCAAGGTAATGGATCCTTCGGCACCATACACACATAACACCAAGCAAGCACCACTGGACACATTTTAAATTTTATGGTTACGCTAACAAGTCTTTTTTTAAATATATTACGTATACATGAATGTAATATGATTTCTTTACTAAAATCATAATAAGTTTTTAAAATCCCGTCAACAGAGCTAGTCTATCAATATGTCTTATTCCCTCGAGGCGTAGGGTGCGGCGTATGCACGCGTCGATTCCTGTATTGTGGTGTTTTACATTTGCATAAAGACCCCGTCAAATTGAATACTTTTTGTTATAGAAAGCTACACCATATGTAAGTAAAATATTTCATTCGTGCTATCTACTCTATAAGCACTACTACATTTTTGCGAAACATATTTTATTACAAATACCGTATCATATTTTTGTAAAAGAAATATGTTTTACATATTTTTCATAGAACTGCATAACTATAAATTAGTGACATTGTGTAAAAATGAATAAATATATTATTATTATTGTTATTACAACAATAGATTTTGCAGTGCAGTGCCAATTATTCCCGTGTGTATACGAGTATGTTATTGTTATGTACATTAATGTACTGTGTATAAATGTAAGTATGGAATGAACTGAATTCTTAGGAAATGTACAGTTTTACAGAACGTTGCATTTGCGGGTGAAGTACGACATAACAGAAGTAACAATTTCATTTTATAATAATATTAATATAGAATATGAAAATTTGTATCATTATATTACAGTATTACAGTGCCATCCTTCTGTTTGCGATGCCGAGAGAAATTGATTGCTGCGAGCAAAACACAAAGATAATTGATCATTATTTGAATAAAGAATTTCCTATTTTATTCTATTCTTAAGACAAAACTGAACAGGACATAAAACTTCTTTTACATTTTAAATTTAAAATGCGTACCATGTATCTGTTTTAATGATAAAATTATTATTACAGAGATATAAAATTGCCATTTCTACTTATCTTCAAAATTTAAAATTATGAATTACACAAAAACTATAAAACGCAAAAGCTACCGTCCTATATTCATTATTAACGAAACATTATAATAAATACTACTCCTTAAAATTATATAAAAAGGATTTCTATTGAAAAGTGTAATATTAAAATTGAATCATGTCATTGTAAGCAGGTCGTTAAAGTTATTTTTATAGGAAGTCTTTAATGTGGGGTTAGCCTCCGCTACGTAATAGTTAGTAAGTATTCACGTGCCCGCCCCGATCAGGTCGGGGCGGTGTGTCGCGTGACCGCTTTCTTGCGAACTTCATGAACAATTATTGCACTCACTGCGCAGGGTTTCTTCCGAAGGAGTATTCAGAAACAGATTGAGTATCGCTGTCTCCGAGACGGCAAGTGTCTCGTCATCCGGCTGAACAGGAACCGCTGCCAGTTTTGCAGATTCAAAAAGTGCTTGGCGGTAGGAATGAGCCGCGACTGTGAGTAAAACATATACTACCACATAATTTTTTTTATAACTACTATTTACTACAATCTATTCACGCTATCAGCATATGGCCCTGTTGGTGGTGAATTCGAACCCGGAATTACGTTTTTATTCATCATATTTAGTACAATATAAAGTCTACTCTCAAATGTTGCACTATAAAACAAATATAATAAATATGAACTTTTGTAATTAAGATATATGCCAGTTAATCAGCGGTTTCGCAAACTGCCACTCCTTCCGATAATGATCACGTCCGATCTTTTATAAATGCAAACATTCATATTCATGAGAATGTTTTTTTATTGACCGGGATGCTCTATTTTATTCCTATTGAATAATATAGTAAGTACCGCATTGGTGAATTCATCTCGAAGGTTGTCTAGTAGAAAATGTTGGTAAAAAATATTATTTAGAATCTAATATAGTATACCTAAGAATTTTGCAAACACATTAATCAATATTAGTGCCTTTGGTAACTTTACTTTGTAGTTATCTCAACGTTTTAATGGCGTTTGGATATTTAGTCTTAATCTGGATGAGTATAACTTTTTCTGAATAACTTTTTCTTAATCTGAGTAATTTATATTTATGCCTTTGTAATTACAGCATAAAAATATTTTCTATCGGTTATTTAGTATGCATAGTACAAGTTCTACTTATTACTTATTATAATATTCTCATAACAAAAGTATTACTATATATATGTTTACTAGTATTATTTCTTTTTATATACATATTTTTAATTTTTCACTTTCGTTAATATTTAGTTCTTATGGTAAAGGAAATTTTTAATTATTAATGAGAATAAATACTTATAATATATTTTACTCTTTTATCTATTTATTTATATGATAATTCAGCTGCCATTCTTTTTGAATAGACTGCAATATCGTCTCGTTATTACATCCTATATTTTATCAAAGTAATAAGACACATATATTTTTTCCGAAACTCTATATTTTGTCTATAGATTATTATATTTAATAAATGTAATCATTTTTTGACTTTCCGTAAATGTTACCTACTTGTGGTTTAAAGTGAAACTAGAAAATGAAATAAATTAATACCATAATCTTGTTCATTTTATAAACCAATTAAATAAAAAACAGATGAAATAAGAGAACTTAATTATAAACGTGTACACATACATATATTCTAATCAAGGCTAAGTAATATAATAATTTTTTTATCCGTAATTTAAATTAATGTTATAAATACGAAACAGTTGTTATGTAAGTTCTACTTATACAATTGCCGTATTATCAGCGAACAAGACTGTCTGTGAGTTACTTTAAAAATTAGAGTTCCGTTTTATTACGAGTGACACGGGTGAATCGTGCGAAGCTAGGGCGAGACGCTAGCAGATGACAAATATAGAGCGTGGATTCTAGAACAATGTGCATATAATGTGCGAATGTAATGTACTATCACACCTATTTTCCAATTGACTAGTCGAGCCCTCGGTTCGATTGGTGCAGCTCAGTTCGTCACTTGCATCGACCCAATTCGTTTGTGCACCGCCACTCTACATCCGCTAATAAGGTGTACGTCTGCAGCGGTACGGTATGGACGCGTCCCAAAGCGGCCCAGGGAGGCGGTGAACTCCGAGGGCATGCAGGACCTGGCGAGAAACCTCACCGTGTCCACACCGGTGGCCGGTGTTGACGACTTAGACCCAGACGCTCTGCGGTTGGGCGTGGTCAAGGAACTGATCAAGCTGGTCACGGCAGCACATCGGAGCAACAACACCTACACCGAAGAGCTGAGGCGCACGCTCCCACACCACCCCATCGTGCTCCAAGCTGAAGATTCCGACAATGAAGGTATGCACCACACACATCCATACACACTAGAGTGGACTCAGTAACCACAACCACTTCCCAAATTAACTCGTTACTAGATAATAATCTGATTGAACTCGGTCCGGAATTACTCTAATTAAATCGTATCTCTGTATCTCCTTAATGGAATAATACATATTTAGTAGGTACCTGTCCATCTAATGATGATCTCGGCGATCTGACGGTTTAACGCACCGCTTTGCTTCCGATGGTTGCAGGATCGATTGCTCGCACGGTATACACATTTGTACTCATAACTATGATTATTTATATCATTGGGTTTTCTATGTAATATACACAGTAAATATTAAACCCAATAATTAAAAATAATAGAATATGTATGTATTTTTAAAAATTAAATACTTTATATTAAACAATATATAAAATTATTAATCAAGAACTTGCTAGTTACACATCTTATATATTTTTAAAAAATATATAACGATATAGCTGGTACGCTCTGTTTAGCTTGGGACTAGATGGTCCTGTGTAAATTATCCTGAAACATTATTTTTATAATTCTCTATATTAATTTATTTAAGAAGAGGAAGAGCTAAATTTCTTATCAATTCTTCTTCACTCAAAAGTACTCCGAACTCACGTGATGATATCACAAGTCTGTGATAGACCTATATTAATGATAATATTGTTATTAGATTTAAATACCAAGAAATTAGCGTCAAGTTACTGTGTATATATTTATAACATTGTAGGGCGTTTGTTGGACCGCCACGCCATTAGGCAAGTTCATGAATAGAAAATAACAGAAAATCTTTATTAAAATAATCTTAAATTTTAATACTTAAATAGTCATACTTCATTTTTTAATCTACCGCTCATTAGAAAAGTTGTCTCATCACAAGAAGAACGAGAAAGAAACTTGCGTGTTGTTCTTTTAAATGATTGTTGTAACATTATCTGACGACCTAGGTGGTCTAGCGGTCTAGCACACCACTTTGCGTCCGGTGGTCGCGGGTTCGATTCCTCGCACGGCACAAACATTTGTATTCATGAGTATGATTGTTTGTATCGGTCTGGGTATTTTCTATGTATAATATGTATATGTTATACAAAAAAAACATATCTATGTATTTGTATCAATTATCTAGTACCCGTAACACAAGCTTTAGATAGCTTAACTTGGGACTAGATGGCGCTGTGTGAATTGTCCTGAGGTTTTTATTATTATATTTTTGAGTTGAAATGTGTGAATACAAACGAACACTTATTCGTTAGAGTCAAAATATTAAATACACAATAAGATTAAATCCGAGATGATTTGAGCAGACCAGTTCCCACATGCAGCACTCGTTTACAAGTATAGTTGCCTTTACACGACATATTCTTTCACGGGGTATATGGAGCGTGCGCTAAGTATTTAATACGGGGAAGCCAACGCGCGCAACCGTGAGGAATTGCTTATAACTATTTTTTTTTGTTCACTCTTTCGCTCGTGGACTCACGTGTTTTTTGTCCTTTTACTTTGTTTTAAAATATACATTTTTTTTTCGAAAAATATGTTTAGTATTAATAAATTACACTAACAAATAAATAAAAATTGTTTGTTTCCTTCGATTTTTTTTCGTTTCTACCTCGAATTAACGAGTATTCTTTGAATATAGCAACAAATTTTCTCTCACTGTTTTTGTTTTTCAGTTACAGCTAACTTCCTTTATTTACTAGGCATCGATTTGCGTTTTTTATTGTACACTGAAATATATTTTGTTATGACTTCGCCAATAAGATGTGTAATCCTGATTGTTTTTGATACATTTATGGTGAATATGTAAAATATCAAACCCCAATATCGAACTCGATATTTTTTAAAACAAATTGAAATAATTGAAACTATTAGCAATCTCCCAGTATTTTTCTTTATACTAGGAACCATAAAAATACAAATACACAAAAAAATGAGGGAAATAAAACTTGTGTTGTCCAGTGTTATCAATAACTCTAAAGGCACTAAAACGCATGGTTCAGGTGGCGCGCGCGGTGTTACTTGTTTCCTTTATCTACATTTACATGCAAATTCTTTCCTGCGTGAAGCCTTTTCGCCCGTGAAAGAGCATACATGTGACGGTAGCTTATGAATGCAATTATCGTGTAAAGGAAGCGGCGGCGAGGAGGCCGCCAGTTCGACGACTGACCGCGTGACTGATGTCCGCTCGGTGCTCTGGTACAACGTAGCACTCCGAATGACGCCTGGTGTACACCAGGTTGTCGAATTTTCAAAACGACTACCTGGATTCCACACCCTGCCCCAAGACGACCAGCTCATACTCATTAAGGTACTATATTCACTTGCCGTATGTGCCGTATGTGTCGTATGTGCCGGTGTCTAGAATATTAATATTTTTTAATTATGAACAATAAATACATTAAAACAATAAAAAAAATAATTACAGACACTACTATGAATTTGACACACATACGCATATATATGAGTACATTTTGCGTAATTCTTATGACTTGTTCAAAGAGCTTTGTGTATTTTGGTTAAATTTCTACGATGACGGGCATCCTAGTAGCTCTTTGCAAATACAAGATAAAATATGGGAATATCTAAGTATTATATAATAATACTTTGATATCTTCCTGAGGGAAAGATATCAAAGTACTGTAAAAGTGCATTGAAAATATTTTACAAAAAGCGGTTATATCGCTTTATGTTATATCTTTCAGACAACCTATGAATAATATAAGAAAAATAGAAGATATAGAATATTTTCTGAACTCGTCCTAACCTTTGTATCGCGGATGAGTTGTGCCCCAGATGTTCGAATCTATTGTAGTTTCCGATAACACATACGATCGTGAAGAGCAGGTCATTCATACAATTGTGTTACATAATATGTATTATATGTATCTCCATAACGTACGAAGCTTCGGAGCGTTAAAGTACTCAGTTCGTTATTTCCAAAAACCAGACCGTCTGACGAGACTGTACCAATGGTATAGAGTTATGAGTAGATGCTAGAGTTTACGCTCTCAGTACAAGTCTAGTATACTAAAACCAAATCGCTAAAAATATTTAATTTTCATAAAAGTTGGTTATTTTTTAAATTAAGTATTAATATCAATACCACCGTCATGAAGGAGGACTACTGGTCGAACAGGATGGTGTATCAGCGCTATGATGGCAGATTGCCGTCATCGGTATTGTGACCACACAGACAATTTATATTTTATATGATGCATGATATTGCATTCGTATGCATGTTAGTCCGCAAAACATTTATAATATGGGTTATTAGTAACTTAAATATAAAATTATGACTAATTATTTATTATTTTAAAAATGACACTCAACTTTTATGAAAATTATTCAGTTTTCGAGACCTATTTTTGAGGATATAATATATACACATAAGTAATGTGGTGGCTTCTGTTAGTTTAAGAGATTGTATAGTAATAAAATGTGCGAATTATCATTCCCCGCATCTAATCACTGGCTTTGAGCGAATATAATTATATATATGGCCATTAGCGAACTGATTACATATTCGATGTGTCCGTATCATTTGGTACGTTATGGTATGTGGGAGTGCTGAGTGAAACTGGAAGTTCACTGGAAGTGGAAACGTACTGTTTTTTTACAGCTAGGATTCTTCGAAGTATGGCTGACGCGTGCCACCCGTCTTTCCACTAACACCAGTATCGTCTTCGACGACGGCACCGCTATAACGCAAGCACAACTCGAGGTTGTTTATGATGTGAGTTGAATGTTTTGGGTTATACTTCGGAACTTCTTACAAATCAAAATTTTGCATAAATTATAAAAAAGTATCTAGAAACTTAACATATATAAAAAATTTAATAAATTTCTTTATTTAGTAGTAGGTAATGTATAACTATTGTAAAATGAGAATACCGCATTTTGCGTACTTAGTAAATAAGAGAGAACTTAGTGCCAGCAGACAAACCGCGACAGGAGTTTTGTAGAACAGTGATTGTAAATTTGGAAAGATAAAACTTTTTATATAGGTATCTAAGTATTTGGTTACCAGGGATACCTGTCTCACATATTTGATGGATCCCTAGCACCTACTGCTACGTTTCAGTGTAATGGATAAGATAAGCAATACTATAAAGTCTGTGAAATAATACATGAGCAGTTTAGTAATATCCGTAATATAAGAATTCGGGTGTGCTCTTTGTAATTATAATTTCAATTAAAATTAGTTTAATTATACAGAAGGACTTTGTTTATCGTGCGGAGAAAAATATGGCATATGATTGGAATTCTATTGATATTTTTAATAATAAAAGTAATAAACATTTATTTGAAATTTCATTATATTAACATTTATTAGACTGTAATTACAAAGTATGAGAACATACATGCATAATTTTAATAGTCAACCTACGCCTGTTAACGAAATACTAAAAACTAAGTTAGGTATATGTTATATATAAACAAAGTAGGTATAGGTAACGGACGTCCTGTCACTTCGTCGCATCAGTTTTGTGTCCTGTATTTTCAAATAAAATAACAATCATTTAGTAGATAATTTTTGATAGTTCGACTGTATTTCCATCAGTATAACTTTTTTTGTATATGTTAAGTTCATATAGCTTATGTACCCAACTTTTCAATGTACAATAACAGATTCATCTGTTGGTATCAAAAATAGTTTCAGTGATAGGATGTTATCGACATCACTACATATATAAGATATAAATATGTTCTACTTTTATAAATCACTAATAAAGTGACTTGATTTATGAACAAATGTAAGTACAAAAAGTTATATTACTACCCAGTAAATAGTGTGCCTCGAGAATCTCTGATATTGGGATCTTCATATTACTTCCACACGCGAGTACGTAGCTAGCAGCTAGCGTAATAGCTAGCATTGCGTATTGACCAATATGTATTTATTGGTCAATAATACATTTGTAATGGGCGTACGCTTATTGTTGTATTCTCGAACGACAGACAGTCGGATCCACAATAATGTCAATTCCATTTACGCACTTAACACGCCGACGCGCGTGGACACCGGGTGCAATAATTAATGTGCATGCTCTTGACAGGCTCCGTTTGCGACGGCGATGTTTAACTACGTGCGCTCCATGATGAGACTGAGGATGACCGAGGAGGAGATGGCTATGTACACTGGCTCTTTGCTGCTGTGCCCGCAGCGGGCTGGACTTTCCGCGACTGATCGCATCGATACGTTGCATCGAACTATAAGCGAATCTTTCCATCATATTGTAAGTATATTTTTCGCAAAAATTATCTAATTCAGCGAGGCCTGTAAACCAACGTAGGGACAGCTGAGGGTGACTTTTAGTGTAAGGTGCTGCCCACACTAAGCAAGAGATTAGCTGCCGCTAATATAATATGTAGACAATTTTACATGCTTATTCCTTCCTGCGTGAAAGACCGTTCTACCGTAAAGACCGGATCATACGTTCAATTGTTCGTGTTAACAGATAGTTAGCGAGGCGGGCGAGGCCAGCGCGGCATTCGCGAGGACTGACGCCTTCTCGACGGGCATACAGCAGGCGCGCGCGCTTGGCAAACGGCACAACGAGCTGCTGGCATGGTGCCGCGACCACTGGCCCCGCCTCGTGCTGCCCGCGCTCTTCTCAGAGATCTTCGACATACCCAAGTCGGAGGAGCAGGAGCCCACCGAGACCGAGCGCGCCGTGCCCACCCCGCAAGTGCACACGCCTCTTTAAATCCCTTCGCTTGTTCTAGTACTCCTTGACGTCCTTGGAGACAGTATCTATTGCTGCCAGTTGCTACACGAGACGACCCTATCCACTCTTATGTACCTATGACAGCGCATACTCTTTAACAACACTCCAAATTCGTTTATATCACAATTGAACATGTTCTCTATATCTAAGTACAATATAATTCGTATTTCTGAAAACTTTTGGCTATAAAATATTATCCAATTTTTTTTCTCGTGTTGTATTAACCTGATATGTAAAAGCACACTTGCGTGTTTGATAAGTAGGTATTCACGTAGAGTGTTACGTTTGTCTGAGCATTGTCTGCACAGCTCGTACTCATATGTACGATTGCGAACTCATGAGGTCACGTGACTCGTAACATGTTAACGCAACTTGCTCACTTTAAGTCATATAAATATTCAATTTGGAATTATGGTAAAGGGCTACAGGTATAAAGGGAGCGACGAAGAGCGTGTGTGTGAACGCGTTTGTGAATAGGTAGGTATATAATATAAAACTTTGTGATAGATAATTCAAAATGTATATTTATATTGTTGTAGTTTTACTCGCCGGTATTATTATGTGATAAATTGAATTTCAATGCCGTGTGCGGTTCATCATAATTATAATCATAATAAATTATTCGTACCTACTATACAATCATTAGAAAATTCAGTAAAACTTGTTAAATTCACATATTTTCAAATTACTTCCCTTCAAATTTCTGTAGAAAAATATACTAAACGATATTGCATTTAGAGGTGTGCCGATTTATTCTCAGTACCTATATACGTACATTTCAGAGCACTTACTCTTACGTTGTAGCATTAGCGTAAAACGGTGGTTTTACAAAGAGCCAGTTATTGTAATCCTTATTGAAATGAAAAACCTTAATTTAAATACTCCACAATACTCGAAATATAAGAGAAAATCGAGCTTAGGATAATGATAATGTTTCAACAGTTCTGTATAATTACAATTAGATATAGCGCTTTCTTAATTGTCTTATTTGATCATATAACATTGTGTTCACTTACGAGTGTAGGTGCAGACATACGTCATATATCAATGTAGATATAAAGCTAATATAATATACAGCTACTTCTTTTGTCCCGAACTAAATTGACGTGTAGTTAACACCACTAAATTACAACGTTAAAAGAACGTCTATCGTCATCTATTATTTTAATGGTGATAATGAAATGATGCACCACCCGCGCTTATCATATATGCAGACGGGGCATCAGTGGAAGGTGATAGGATTAGCACGAATTCTGGCCAGTTAGCCTACGTGGCGAATTCACCGGAAAATAAACAACTAGGGCCACTAGTATCCATCTAAGTTTTATGTAACTACATGTATTATATATTTTTTTTTCAAATAATTATCAGTCTCTATTGTAAACTATATAAATTTTAGATTGTGTTACTATGTTATTCAATATTACAAATAGTTCATTTAGTATTGACTACTTTCAATTAGATCACGTGTTTATTATCTACTATATCTGCCACGTAAAAAAAGTATTGAATAAGTCATAGGCACAGTATTGACGCGCTGACAACTGGTTGAGAATTTTGAAGTCAGAATATTTTCTTATGACCAAGATTTTATTTATGTATTTGATCTATCTATTTACACTGGACAAAATAATTCGAACGTAACTAAATTCCAACTAGTTAATACAGATTTGGACATAGAAATCCTTCCAGATACCTATTAGATTGCTGCCTTATAGCAAATTCCCGTACCTATTAAATGCAGTTTCTAATAGCTATAACAGACATTCATATCTGTTACAATACATAGCACGAACATTAAAACTAAGTGATGCGATTAATACCATTACCCGTGTGGAGGTCGCCCCACCGCAGACACAATTACTGTTGATGCTTTTAAATCGGCGGGTGATCACAGAAACACGCCCACTGTCAATATTGTTGATGGCAGGTGGCTACAGCATTTACTATCACATACCTATTTATAGTAGGTATATTTACATTCATAAGCATGGTATTATTAGGTTGTACCTAGGTACGAGTAAGTAGTCAAGTTCTAATGTTGCAACATAATATGACATATAGTAATTTGGTTAATAATTAACACACGTTATTAATTTATTTTATGTCGAAATAGATGAGAAGCGTTTGGGTTATGCATAACTAAGTTATAATAGGTAGGTATCTATCTATTATAGGCTATCTGCCTATAATTTTAATAATATAAAATCACCAGCTTATAGACGGTGAGACTAGTGGTCCAATAAATACCTAAAAGCTGCTGCAACTGTTTTTTATTTTAAACTTTTAAATTTGCGAGTGTCGGATACAACCCTTATTTCAATATATTCTAATTTTGAAATAAGAAACATTTGCATCAGTGTTATATAGTCGCCAAACCTATGTAGACATTTTGTTCGATATAATAATTAACTATACCGATTATATCAGAGAAGTATTGTATAGTGCACAAAAATTATTCAGGGACGCTTTACATTTGAATATCCTTCTACATATACTCCGATTAGAGAATGTAAGCTTCTTGAGATGCACTATTGCTGAAGAAGCAGCGGTTTTTTGCGTTCGATTAATCTAAGCTTGTGTTTTGTTTGAAGGCGAAGTCTGTTGACTATCGTCTGTTGCTCAAACAGGTCAAGAGAGTACAATAAAAGAAAAGCCACCTATTACTCTTTCTAACTAAAATATAACTACTAGATATTTCCTTTATATAATAGATTTATATTATATTGATTTTATATATATATTATATTTATTTTAATGACAAAACAAGAAATTAAATTTATAACAAGTTAATATTAATATAAAGTCAATATTCATATATTAAAATTTTTAAATGTCTATCTCCTAATATTTAATACTATAGTAATACCTATACTAAGAGACTTTGTAATAACTTGGCAAACTTGATGACATGCCTGACTCTTGGTAGGCGCAAATATGGTAAATAAATACATTGAAACGAGTATTTTGCTTGATTTTACGGTCTTCACTTTTCTTGTACTCAATGTTCATTCTTGACTTATTTATTGCTCTGATGAAACTGTTTTACAGTCCTCACAGTTGAACCCTTGGTGCATGCGAGAGGTGGGCGCAGCGTAGTCACTAGATACCCATACAAGCAGCGGTATAACCTAATTTCAAATGCGTTATTCGATTAATAATGTATTCAATGGCTGGTTTATTTACTATGGACAATTTGCTCAGGTCACTACCTGACCCGACAATCGGCTCCCGTTACAAGCTAATACATCCCTGCACATGTCCTATTTAGGCTTCACTACCTCTTTACTTTGACAGAATAAACATATCAACTCATCACTGTATTTACATCTCCACAGCATAGCCTTAAGAAATTTTTTTGCTCAACTTCTGGACGGCGGATATGTTTTATGAAAAGTGCTGCAATTTTGCTTTAAATAGGTTCCTACTTATTGGGAATGCCCTCAGAATCTTGTTATAATTAGATTGTAATAAAATCAATTAATGTATCCAACATTTATATTGTCGAATACTCAAACTACAGTTATGATATCTACTGCTTTCCGAACGTTCAAAACATTTGAACATTAAATTTACTTCTATAAAAACGATTGCTGCCATCGATTGCACCACCACACCGCCTGGTGGTGGTTTCTCGCAACACCATTATTGTATATGTTAAAGTTGTTCTCATTTCATCTTGTTTTTATTATATTGTTAGATATTTTGTTATATAAACTTACCTAGTTTGCTAATAAATCTTACACGTGATTACATATTCACTACATTTATTATATTATAGCTAAGTAAATGTATGTACGAAATACACATGTAAATTAAATTTTATGAGTTTTATTTATAAAATATCTGCTTTTCCTACTGTGCAGTTATTGCCATCCATATGTGGCATTTATTGAAAGTTTTATTGATGTCTAAAAGAAAATTGATTGAAGATAAAGTGAATTGAGAATTGTGAATTTTTGAACATATAACATAACCATATTGGAAACCAGAACTTCCAATATTACAGGCATCTGTAAAGTTTGAAAAGTAGCGATATTCTCTTGCCTCCATTAGGTTTTAGTACGACAAAACTTATGAAAATTAAAGGAAAGAATAAAAGGTAAGAAATGAAAAGTCCATTCTTTTTAATGCTTAATTGTATTGCCACCTTCTTAAATCACATGGAAGAAACAATAAGTATTAAACAAAATACTTCATAATATTATCTTTTATGAAATAAAAATAATCTTTAATTTTGTTTTAATAACAATAACAAAGCAAATAATACAGTAATACCTAAGTAATTCATTAGAAAAGTGCGCCTACTAGCGCTTTTACATATGAATGAATGAGATATATAAATACATCAACAGCGTGGTAACGTCGTCGCAGATGATGCACCACGCTGCATAATACAGGCTGCGGGCTACGGGCTATGGTTTGCGGTTTGAGGACTGAGGCCAGCGACATTGCTACCACCTTCAGTCAACAATGTTCTGTTGCAAAGTAGAACCACTGCAGGCCACTGCGGGACCGGCCCTCTTGTCGTACGCACACTACATTACCACGATATCAACGAGTGGTGGACTCACAAACAAATTACATGCTTTCCCACAGGACATATATATATAAGGCGCGTAATTGGAATATTTGTACTTCAGTGACTGCTTTTTAGGGTCAATTTTGATTATCATAATAAAGAGGATAATAATATATTTTCCCTAGCAGTAGACAATAGACACAGTAATCAGTAATCGTATACACAGGAGCTTAGTGAAAAGAGAGCTTCAATAATTATAATAGTCAGATTATCTTATGAATATAATTAATTCTGGACTGGTCCACCTTAAATTGGTTGACTAGGTATATACTGATAATTGTATGTCATTCATCAGGGGGAACAGGATTTTGGTAGTCGGATGGGTAACGACAGTGTCTACTTATGTTACACAATCCTAAACTAAGATGAAACAAATATAATATATTCAAGTACATGTCTACTATTATTAAACATATTATCTGTAGTGAACAGTCACTCGATATTAACATTCTTGACAATTAATTACCAAAGATACTACTTGCTTAATTGAATCCAATGCATGATTTTTATACATGCATTATAATAATGAAAATAGTATTAACAAACATATGAAAAGAATAATATTGGGAGAAATCAGCACACGGGAGGGATATTACAGCAAAAATCATTGGTACTCGTCGCTAGTGTCACTCGTATATCAGTGGGTACAGAGGTTATCTTATGGATCACGGACGGTATTTAAACAATCCTTTATCTATCCCATTGCAATTAGTTTATATTTTTAAAATCCCAGTAAGGGGCATGTTATATGTTCTTTGTTTTGTAAGTCTACCAATTCGAGTCGCAGACATTGGAGAGTAGACATTATACGTGCAACTCCACGGTTAACACTGATCTCTAGTGTTTACCAAACATTAAATCAGGAAAAAAAGGAAATAGGAAATTCATGTGCCTACAGCAGGCACATGAAGCCACACATATAACACTAATATATCTGCTGGTGGCGTAGTCGCCGAACAATAATCGCGTGTGTTGCATGCGCAACACACACGAATGTACACACTATGTGTGTGGGAAATTGAGCTCGTGCTGCATTGTCTACGCGATAGAATAGAAGAAATGTCGTTACTGTACTAGTAATGACATCATATTTCGGATATGGTAATAGTGTAGTGCACGTAGCATTCAGATTACTTGACTACTATACACGTGGCGTGGTACAAGCCAGTCCCTCGCCCCCTCGCCTCACACGACTTGCACATTAAGTTACAAACAACAGTCGGCCCATAATTCATCTCATAATTATTTGATATGTTGGAAATAAAAAAAATGGAAAGAAGCATTTATGTTATGCACACATGTACACATTTAGGTTGTTGTTTTCTATAAAACAATATTTATCTTATTAACTAAAACTATATTTTAATATCACTACATAAACATAATAAAGAAAAAGTTTCATCGTTTTTTCTTATAACACAGCGGCATATGGTATTTCTATAAATTTAAAGACATTCAGAAACGGGTTTGGGGTGAGGTGTTCGAGGAATAATAACCTCAAATAATACTACAGTAACAAACATTTAGTCTCTAACTTTACTGCATCTTGTATTGACTACTTTAGATCATGCACATGATTTTTGAATAGGTATACAAACAACTAGGAAATAAAGATAAAAGCACACTGTTGCCAGATCATACCGATTGCAATGTCTAGTTGAACATGACGGTGGGGTAACAAAAACGACGTAAGTAGAACATTAAAACAGAAGTGTTCAAAAATTCCGCTATGTGTAAATTTTCAGTTTGAATCACTTCACTTGGGCGGTCTGTTCGTTTACCGGGCCTAATGCCCTCTATTCCTGGTCACTGCTTGTTTATATTAACGTACCTAGTGCTCCCTATTCCTGCTTATTATATCAACTGCACGTGCTATATTTGGCCAGGCGTAGGTGTCTCTGATAAGAGTCTGGAACACAAATTTTCCCTATTCTTCTAATCAATAATGTTTTTTTACGTATAAATACACGGGAATCACGTTTACGTTATGGTAATAATGATTATACGACAGACGATAATAATAGAAAAAAAAATACTGTACGATCACGTTTTAGATACAACCTGTATACCGGTAGGTTTGTGAGTTGTTGTTACTGTACTATTGCACTAATGAAGCATTCGTCTATTTTTACACAAATAAATTAACTAGAAACACTTTATGAAATATTATGTGCAATTCCATATGGTACAGTCAGAAATATATCTATAGTAGAGTTAACGTAGATCGTTATTAATATAAATGATACAATTTTCGACTTTACATGCAAAAAAGTAATAAAATTGTTCTAATCATCCAGTCGCTATTATTTTATTTGAAAATACACTATCCAATTGATAACCAGCGATTATGCATTAAATTTCAATTTAAAATTGGCGTGGGTTCTAATATATGTGGTCACTCCATTAAAACACTGAATATGTTTACGAGGTTGGCAGTATAACTACCGAAATTAGTATGTATCAGCTTACAGCAAAAGATATTTTGGATAATAAGTATTACATAAGAAAGAGTAAAAAGTGAACAGCCCACGAAAGTGAAAACAGTTGATCATAGTATATTGGTAAAATTATAACAATTATTACACATACAATAGAACTAAATACCGAATACATGATTCACAGGAACATTATCAAAGACAAAGGAATTTATAACATCACATATATACCGACAAGCCGATCATTGCATCTGCGCACAAGGTGCACGGACCTCTTATAATTGTTCATAATGCACATGCCTAACATCTTTCACAATAATATACTACGGTTAATATATTGGTCAATGATATTACTCCGATTTTAGCTTCAACTAATAAAAGGATTATACATTATGATCCATGAAATAGTTATACAAAGCCTGGCCAAAATCTATTAACTTGAAGGTTTAAAGACAGATTAATGAGAAAAGAAATAATAAGCTTAACATAATGAAATAGAAAATAAATTAATAAAAGCATAGACCATAGTCTGTGGAAACATATATATATATATACTTCGGTATGATTATGAAGTACCATTGATTACAAGCCTCGAACAGAATTGATCACAAGGTATAGTATGCAAGGCACGGACATGTATAATATGCCGCAGGGAAAACTACATCTATTACTGGGTACTTCCCTCTAACAAGTGTTAAGGCGACTACACACAAAAATGTCACAATCAGCTACGATGTTAACATACAATATTACATTCTGAATACGTATATAATTAAAAAAAGAAGTGTAAAATAATTTCATCTGTTGCTGAAGTATAAAAATATTTCATACTTAAGTGTGCCGACAATATGCCGTAATACAAATAGGAGAACGCAATTTTAAATATCTTTTAGTGAACGCAACTCGGTACGTATATTAGGAGACACAACGATGTCACTGTGTTCTTAATATAATTTCAATACAATTAACATGAAATTAGAAATAAAACGTAGAATGCGACGAACTCTCTCCAGCGTTCTGTTAACCTAATTCTCTCAAACAGAAGGCCCGTCGATAGCAACGTTGCCAGTACAAACAAACACACACATTTAAAGTGCTCAAAGGATCTGTCGAAAGCAAAATAATTTGGACGGAATTCTATTGCATTAGAATAGAACGCGTTATAGTGTTCTCCATAATATAATTATAAAGTATAAAATAGTTCATAGTTAAAGCACTTAGTACATTAGATTCGAGTTTAATATAGTAATAAGTATGTATTTGTTATAGTTTAAAATTAAAAATTTAGATTATGATTTAGTTTTATTTTATATTGCATACAAAAATAATTTGTATTATGGCGATTTGATTTTATTTACTTGGCGGTAATGGGAATGGGAAACAAGCTTAAGGTCCAAATGATGGTAAAATTATTTGCATGTTACATGTGTCCGTGTAGACTTAAATGAATTCTATATCACACAAGTCCCTATAACAGGAAATTGGTGCTGGTACTCGTGTCACAGCACTTTCATACTGTTGCTTGCAAACTTGTAAATTATATGTATTTTGACAGTATCTCATTACTAGTGTAGAGTCACATTTGCTGTGATAAACTTGCTTTTAAATCAAAACATTAATCCATCGTGGGTATATTAGAAAACAAATATCGTAATCAAGTGAATAAAATGGCAGAAGTGTCGTGATGTCCTCCGACCTTCTTATATATAGTCTAAAAACGATATAGAAGTATAATTTGATTGTCAAAAATTTTTATGTAAATCAATAATTACACACATAAATGGCTAAATCAATGCAAAATATGATTACTAGTAACAAAGTAAACATTATACAGTGTATTTTCATTCTAAACACGTGACTTGAAGTTGAAAGCGAATGAATGCGTCGAGTTGTCGTACATGCATCCTGACAACTATATAGGTTATCTCAAATTTGTCTCCGAGATAAAAAATAAACAGATTATAACTTTAGCTTTAAATTTTACCTGAGTGAAACATGCAATTATATACCTAATTGTGGCAAATAGTACCGAGTAATGTGTAAAACCTATGACGCTACGGAGAGACAGTCCGCTCGATCAGTGTAAGGGTGAATGACAATGAACATGAGAGTTAAATAATAATTAGCTAAACAAAAATCCCTTCTCGAGGGGAGTCGTCTGACTTATGGTTATTTACACCGTAACTCGCGTTCCAATATAAATCGATCCCTAGGATATTTTATACAGTTATTCACATTTTATTGAATACTAAAATTTATTGTAAAATTATGTCATCGAGTGCACGGGGCGGGGCGATACTCCACACATAGGAATTATTTGCTGCTTTTACACGACACATTCTTTCAAGCACGATTACGAGCGCGCGGGAAAACCAGAGCGCGCAAACGTGTATTATTGCGTTTTACTATTTGTGTTATGTGACTATTCTTTCGCGCGTAACGCATAAGTTTCAAGTCGTTTCATTTTCTTTAAACATCTTATTTTTTATTCCACAGATTATCTTTCCTGCATGAAAGCGCGTACGTGTAAAGGCAGCTATTGCGCCGTGGACATGATTACAATAGAGATATATCGGTAGGTGGCGCACCGCTCGTCGGACGGCGGCTCGCTCACTTGCCGGCGGGCGACCCGCGCTGCGTGAGCCCCTCGAAACGCTTGAACGTGTAGTTGATGAACACCCAATCCTTGTACGCTGCCTCCCCCTCCTGCGATATCGGCGCAGCCGCTGCAACCACACACAAAGCACAAGGTCTATATTCATTTTACAAAATAAGAGTTTCATGACCATGACCACTGTCGTCCTGTTTGGGTTACGGCTACTGATTAAATAATTTAATTTTGTGGTCACTATATTCTCACTAATTGAATTTAAGTATTAATATGTATTTTTGTAATCATGTACATGTACATTGTCATTTGAAGAGAGTAAAAGCTCAGTTTGCCAGTCAGTCTTCTTATCTCGAAAGCACTCCGAATTTATGGTAGATTTAACATATCATAAAAATCTGTAATTATTTATTCATTTGCATTCCATAATGTCATGGACCAAGACGGCCGAACAAATTGCGATGAAATACAATGGTTTTAACAGATTTTAATTATTTTGTAATTTTTTTCTAATCTCTATGTATATATAATAATTTTATTATCTTTAAAATATTCATTGACATTATAATATATTTTTTTTATAAATATTTTATCTTTTTTTAATTCTAAAATATTCCTATAGAGTAAGTGTGCCCGCGGTTTCACCCCCATAAAAGTTATAGCGTATCTTTTATTCTGATTTATAAGCTATATTTCTGTAATGTTACATCAAAATCCGGTCAGTAGTTTTTGCTTAACAAACAACCATCTATCCATCCATACTCACAAACTTAGCATTTATAATGTTAAGTAAGTTTTTTATAAACATTGAAATTGTAATAGTGCAACATGAATAAAGATATATAGATTTTTGATATTATCTATACTTACGTATCTCGAGTTTGACATCAGGGAAGTCGTCAAAGTTGGACGTGTCATCTATGGAACGAACCTCGACCGAAATGGCGGCCGGCCGCTCTCGCACGTGGCTCCAGTCCACGCCGCGGAAGAACTGCACTGACTTCACGTCCTCGATCCCGCGCTGCGAGCCCAGCCTGTGTACCACACACACATTACGTATTACAACCATTTTAAATATTAATACGTGAAGCAAAAACATTGTATCCCTCTTAACAAAAATTTTACGGACGGATGAGTGTTCGCACTCTTATAGTTAGTACAGAGCGCAAATATTGTTTTGTAATTATGCATAAAAATACATGATGTATGTTGGACTCCATTCTCCGCAATTAGCCTCTCATTCGGGCCGTTGTGCGTGTGAATGCATAAAAATACATTATATTAATAAATAAACATTGCACTCGCTATCACGACCTGCCCGCTTCGGTGTTCTAGCAGTTTAGCACAATGCCTTATATCCGATGGTCGCAGTTTCGATTCCTCACAATAAACATTTGTATTCATGAATATGATTGTTTATATTGGCCTAGGTGTTATTTTTTTTATACCACTATTATCTATGTGTATTATGTAAGCATATAAAAAAACTGTATTTATGTCATTTGTCTAATATCCATAACACAAGCTATCCTTAGCGTGGGTAAGTGTTTCGATACCGCCAGATATACTGACCTGCGATCGGGCTCAGAACAGAAGCGCAAGATGGTCTCACGGGCCTCCTCGCTGATGGGCACCTCCGGTGGGAACGTGAGAGACTCACGCCACGACATCACCTTGCGGTACGTCTCCTGCGGCGACTCGGAACAGAACGGTGGATATCCGATCAACATCTCGTACCTAAAACGGTATACAACACAATTTGTAATTTGCACATAATCACCACACTATAGCCATGGGGCTCTTTGAGTGCAACGAAGGTGTGAAAATCTATTTGTAATTTGCTTATAAATACCCATGACAGTATTCTTTAATTTGTAATTCTATAGTCAAGTGATGTATACGTTTACAACAGCTCAATTCGCTACCTACAATACTAGAACTAGAAAGTAACAACCAAGCACCATCACACCAACCCATAAACCCTAAAAATATTACTGATACAATAAATACAAGAGAATCTACGAAGGTGACTTCCTAGTAATAATTTAGAATATTAAAATAACATACAAAAAGACACATTTTCACAAGATTTCTTAGAAAAAAAAACAATATCACGAAATAGGTTTATCTGAGCAAATTGAACTGAAACACATACAGACAGTACGTTTTGAGCCTTCCAAAAATGGATCTTCTTGATAATGATTAAAATCCAAAAAGGAAAGGTTTAGAACATGAACTATTATAGATCAATATTAATACAAAATCCCCAAAACCATGAAACAAGAAGCTTTTATTAGTGCGCTCGCTTTTTGTCAATATTTTTACTGGCGGATATATTTTCTTAAATGTATTGTATGTATGTATAAAGCAACTATTACGATATTTCATTAATTAAAGCACTCTCGCAAATACTAGAACCCATAACATAAATAGCACGATGACCGTCTTTAGCATTGTTAATATTGTATTCATTTAACTAAAGACCTCAAACATGCAGTACGCCTGGCCAGCACTACTGGAAACTTCACTACCGTCGCTTTATAATTCTAACCCGGTACCGGTAGCAGAATTAAACACAATAAGTAATGTCACCAATGTTTTCTCAGCGCATAATTATAACGACTTTCATAAACAAAACTCCGATATTATTTACATCGTTGATTATTAACCAAAATACAGTCTACATTACTCATTGATTTGTAGATTTCTATAGCTGAAAAATATTATACAATGCATTCTATTTGTACTCTATAAAAAAATTGGATAGTGATTAAAAAATATCCTCTGCATAATAGGTAGTGGTACTGACGTGCACATAGATAATAGACCACGTTTGATTGATATAAATAACAGGAATGTGCCATAACGACATTACATAATAGATTTAACAACAAGATACCAGACTAACAAAACTGTCATAACATAACACAATACAAGTATTCGTCTTTGCACAACCTAACTGTAAATATACATTGTCCACTCCATAGCTTGGAAATTGACATTTCACATCGATAAAGCATTACAAAGAGCAATAATGTTTCCCATTGTTAGATAGTAGACGCAACAACACAAATGAAAACGAAACAAAATAAAAAATATTACAACAAGACACTTGTCCATCGTTAGGTAGTAGAGACGCAACAGCACTAAACTGAATGACATACAACTAGTTTGATTGTAATGATATTGCAACTCCAAGATACTTGTAACATTCCATTGTTAGATATTAGAGACGAAACAGCACCAAACCAAATGACATACAACTACTTGTTGATTCTAATGATATTGCAACATCAAGATACTTGTAACATTACATTGTTAGTTATTAGAGACGCAACAGCACCAAACTGAATGACACACAACTACTTGTTCATTGTAAAGATTTTGCACTACAAGATACTTGTAACATTGCATTTTTAGACATTAGAGACGTAACAGTACCAAACTAAATTATATACGATTACTTGTAAAGTACTAGTAAGTAAAGATATTACAGCAGTAAAATACTTGTAACATTAGTTTGTTAGATATGAGAGACGCAACAGCATTAATCGAATGATATACAACTGCTTGTTGATTGTAAAGATATTGCTACTGCAAGATACTTGTAACATTCCATTGTTAGATATTAGAGACGCAATAGCACCAAATTGAATGAAATACAATTACTTGTCGATTTTAATGATATTGCAATATCAAGTTACATGTAACAATCCATCATTAGGTAGTAGAGACGCGACAGCACCAAACTGAATGATTGTAACGATATTACAACATCAAGATACTTGTAACATTCCATCGTTAGGTATGAGAGACGCAACAGCAGCAAACTGAATAACATACAATTACTTGTTGATGGCAATGATATTGCAACATCAAGATACTTGTAACATTCCTTCGTTAGATATGAGAGACGCAACAGCACCAAACTGAACGACATACAACTACTTGTTGAATGTAAAGATATCGCAACTCCAAGATACTTGTAACATTCAATTATTAGATATTAGAGACGCAACAGCACCAAACTAATTTTTTCATGTATGATTATTTCTTTTAATATAATTCACATTACTTCCTGAGTCGACGGTAGATACGTACACGAATAGAAATATTTTGATTTGATTTCTATTATAGACAAATTATATACGGTGATAATTAGTCAGTTATGAACTAAATAAAAATAATATAGGATATGAAATAGGATGACGATTCAAATATGTGTAGTAGATAATGTGATTACTGCAAAATGAATCTAAACTATTACACTGCGTGTGTACGTTTTTTTGTGAGTGTGTGCATGTTGTGTGTGTGCACATTGCGATAGTGGAACGTTACTAACATGATGACGCCAAGGCTCCACCAGTCAGCCTGTGGGCCGTATCCGGTGTGCAGGAACACCTCGGGCGCGATGTAATCTGGCGTCCCCACCGTGGAGTAAGCGAGCGCGCGTCTGTTGCGCTTCCACGACTCTGCACGCCGCTTCGAATCCATAGCGGACGCCGCGCAGACTACGACAAAAAATAGTATTACTATCGATTCTCTGGTATCCCACCACACGAGTTCCGATTGGCACGGGACTAGATGACTCTGAAGTTTTTCAGGGTTATTATTATTTCTTGTGGTTGCCCAATAGTAGAAATTCGACCATAGTTTGAACATTATTACATACTATTGTTTTCTATTGCCATAGACTTGTTATTTCTATTACATTTCTATTAATTTAATGTTTTTTTATGTATAAATTAAAAACAAATTGCTTTTCTCTATATAAACAATAAATGATCAAGCTCCTCCGTCCACTCAATTTTCGTAAAAGTGTCGTAAGTTTTTACTTCTCGTATTAATATAATGATTTACTACCGACGTCTACCAATTAATCTGAGGTTCTTAGATTTAAACAGACTGGAAACTCACTAAAATCAGAAGGTGTAGCGCGCGACAGGTCGCGATAGAAATCGGTGCGGTGACTCTTCTTGAGCCCGGTGCACAGGCCGAAGTCGCTCAACTTGATGTGGCCACGGGCGTCCAGCAGTAGGTTGTCGGGCTTTATATCCCTGCGCAGCAATAAAATAAAACTCGCTACTTAAGTATTACTAGCGACCCACTCTGGCGTCGCCCAAGAGCTTATAACTTTGCCACTTTGCATTTCCGTAATATTTCATAATTACTCCAAAATAATCTAACTTTCAAACTGTTAAAAAATGTTGTGGTTTTCAAGTTTACTTTTGTCATAATGAAATCCTCTCTCTCTCCATACAATATTAATAGCAGTTATAAATCATCACATAAATTAACATGTCATTACAGACATAGAATGTTATAAAGAGTGTCATCATTACCAATAGAATACAGTATCTAAATGTTTCATTATATAGGTATGTACAAGCTCTTGATTGAGTGAATTGAATAATGGAGTCGTTAAATAGCTGTATGCGCCCGTCGACTTTGTTAAGGCCTCCTCACTGAACTCTAAATTGAATTCTCCATCGCCGTTAATTTCTATGCAATTTATACATTGTACTGAACTGTCTGGTATGGTATATATTGATATTATCTGTCGTCTCTTTATCATAGAAATTATAACATGAAATTGCAAGTTTCCTATAACTTTTTGAGCGTGTATGTGTATGTATTAATCACCTGTGTATGAACCCGAGCTTGTGTATACTGTCGATGGCAAGCGCGGTCTCGGCGACGTAGAACTGCGCACATTCCTCGCTGAGCGTATCCTTCTTCATGAGCAAGGTCATCATGTCGCCGCCGGGCAAGAACTCCATGATCAAGTACAGGTTCATTGGATCTTGGAAACTGTAGTACATTTTGACCACCCACTGGTGATCCGCCTCCACAAGGATGTCGCGTTCCGCGCGCACGTGCGCCACCTTTTATTACCAAAATATTGGAATCAATTACAACAATTTAAAGTACATTCAACTAAAATTCACCGCACACTACAAAACAATGTCCTGTCGCCTCTGTCTGTACGTGTTCAATAGTCTTCATAATTTTTAGAAGAATTTTCATCTAATAACAGAGTGGTACCTGAAGAATGTTTAGGTCTATAATTAGTTTTGTGTAAATTAATTGAAATATGAAGATAATTGTTGTAACAGTCAGAATAAATCTACGGTGCATATCTATCATTTATTAGTTTACAATACCCAATAATCCTTATAAAAAAAAATAATGGGGTGCTTACAATACTTTAGACAGACACAGTAATTAATCGTTATCTAATTAAATATGTTAAGCTTAACATGTGATATTCATAGTGCAACACCCTTTAAACCATACAATTTATATTAACATAATAAGAGTTCTCGTAAATTAAAAACTACGCGTAAGGTAATAAATTCAGGGGGTCTCGTATCAATTGCTCTCGCTTGATACTGTCACATTAAGCGAGAGCAATTGGGGGAGAGTTGAAATAGGGCGAATATCTAATATGCAATCATACCTATCCGAAGCAAGTGCAACTGTCTAGTTATATATAAAAAAAACATATGAGAAAAAGATCAGTACCTATAGTGGGTCATAAACTACACAGACTTCCATATGTGACGATGAGAATTAACTTTGGTTATGACTAAATCTATATAATATGTATTTAATTATAGGAGGGGATGTAGGAAATTATAAAATGAGTGGTTTGTGAGTGTTGTTAGAAAAATTACACGAAAATACAACATAGCTTATATGACAACAACAAAATAGGTAATAATAGAAATCATAAAAACTACTATTATACAAGTAAAATTATGAACTGTAAAAAGCTAGCGCGATGTTCGCTACTGTTATTATATTTAGATTTAGATACACAGGTTCTGTAATCAAATAACTAAATTTTATATTACTATTAAACAATAGAACTTTTATCTATTATTTACAGTATAATAGTTTTAACATCCCCAATAAACCCCTGCATGGGTGCAACTTAGCTGGTTACAGGTCGTTAATAGAAAACAAATAATGTGAAAAACAAAGGTGTTCAGAGAATAACACCGGTGACAACTCACTTGTTCCTTTTCCAGCATGTCCGCTTTCCTAAGTATCTTCATGGCGTACACGTGGCCCGTATCCTTCTTCTGCACCAGTCGCACTTCGCCGAAGGCGCCCCGCCCTATGACCTGTACGAGCGCAATTCCAAGTGTTATTACATGTCTCGAGATTAATTATATACTGTAAACACAACGCTGAACAAAAAAATTGCACATATGTCATAAAGATGTTGAAACGTCGTGTTTCTTTATGTGACTAATGTTTGTTGATAAAAAGACTCTAATGTTTTATAAATACCTTCAAAGGCTCGAAATCCTCGACGCCGAGCCTGGACCGCTTGAGCCGGAGGAACTCCGTTTCTTTCTGGGCATGCTGCTGTCGTTTCTCTTGCTTCTGGCTCTCCGTCAGGCTGTCATCCTTTAGTGACTCCTCCAATTTCTCCAGTCTAGTCAAAATATTTCACCGTGCATTTTATAACTAATTCAGAGGTATCATTAATATTATGTATTTTGTTTTAACCATAATAAGTAGTAAATGGTATAATTGAAAGCGTCGGAGCCTAGACCCTGAATTAAGCCCATAGAGAGTTCAAATGTAAAAAAATTCGTGAGTTAATTTGTATTTCTGACTATCCGGAGAAGGAAACATAAATATAAAACCAAAAATGAAACCGACTCCGACTGTCACGTTAGGTCCAAAATAATCTGAGCGGATCTCAAGTGTTGCGATCACCACAACATCGACTGTCCCATATGGTGTAACAGATGTGACAGTAGGTTTTATATATTATCAACTTTATTCTAAGAGTCACTGTACCATTATATCAAATTAAATTGCCTAGATATTTCGTTTACTCCTGACAATAAGAGCACCCTAGTAACACCAAATTCAAATACCGTTTACATTAAACAATTTATTTTCATTAACGGTCATATAATTCATCTAGATCACTTATACACATAAGGTTTATTACTGTGTGCCTTTTTCTACAATATATTGCATGAGAGATTACTGAGTTACGGAATTAAATTAGTCTGAACAGTAGAAAGCCTACCAACAATCAGTGAGTAATTTTTATTGTGCTTAAAATATTTACTTAGTTTACTGGCAACATTAATTACTATTCCAATAAATAAATAGTTTTCATTACTGTAGCCGCCGAAATGTGTTGGTAATAAAACTAAACTAATACAATGACGGACCATACGTGTTATTTTCTGCGTTGTCATAGAACTCCAGAAACTAAATAGATTTCTAATAGTGTTGTTATAAAAATTAATAATTTAAAGAATGTGGAGTATATAAAGCTTTCTTTGTAATGTAGAGCTGGGGTTAGATACATTCCGTCACATTGATACAATATACTACGTCGTAACCAAGGAATAGACATAAGCATACGTACATTTGGGAAAATTCTGTTCGAAAGTGTTATCCAACCAATTGTTGTACTCACCTCTGCTTCCTCTCAATGTGTTGCGTGATCAGGTTTGTGTAGAAGTTTTCAAGGGTGACCTTGGCCTTGGTGGCCTTGTCGAGCGTGTGTCCGCTGAACCGTATGTTGTCGGTGCCCGTCATCTCCAGCACCCCTGCAAACAGCGACCGCTTTATTTACACTCCTACTATGTGTCGTAACGTCACTCCAATAAAATACAATTCTAATCATGGATGAATTTTGGTTCTCAAGAAACTTTATGTCACCCACAACCACATTGTGGGATCGCCTTCCAGAGACAATATTTCTGAACTGATATTAAAACCTTAAAGTAAAGTGAAAGGCCGGCAACGAACTTGCAATTCCCTTGGAGTTGCGGGTTGTCATGTGCGGCGGTAATCACATACCATCAGGTGAGCCGCAAGCTCGTTTGTCCCCTATGCAATAATAAACACATGTTCACAGCACATTGTACCCATACTACGTAGTGACGTCACGCACATCACGTGTCACTTCCACACTCGCTATTCTACAAGTTAAAATCAACGCGCACGCACAACAGGGACTGTACCCCGGTACACACAACGATGATGTTGACAGTTGTTAACAAATCTAATGTTGTTCAAAAATCATTCTAAAAATGTTATATTTACAAAAGCTGTAGCGGGAAACTAATACAGCATTATTAATTTTTCATTTAAAACCGTAAACTTTCAAAGCCATGTAGGATATATAATTACCGGTAACAGTACAGATAAATAGATACACTATGAGTTATGCAGTAAATATATAATGACTATATATACATCAAAATATGTAATATGCTCGTTAAAAATGTCATAGGTATTGGGCACAACAATTAGTACCGCATACTCATCGATCTAATGCTGTAATCGGCTTATGACGCCAGCGCGAGAGTTATGTAAGTAGCACATGTCCCTACTGAGTACCTAGTGAACTATACATCTTGTTTGTTTGCACGTTACGTCACCGCCGTACGGATCCTACGTACAGAGTGGAAGGAAACTTCAACCGGCAGTCGAACTGCACAATGGTCACTGTCATATCGAATACCAAGACAGCGGCCCTTCAACATTACCTACTGCGTATACTAGTGAGATAATCCTCACGTTAAATATGTTAGACGTAAGACGACATCCCAAATTGCATTGCATTATTACTTACTTCTGGTGTAATAAACAGTCAAAAATAAATGTGCAATCAGTTTAGTATAATTTAATAATATTAAAAAAATCCCTGGAAGTGAATCCCTGTGTTTTGGATTCTAGGCAACTAATATAAATACTACCATTAGTTTTGCAAATATATATATATATATATAATATAATATACATGCATGTACCGCGCGAGAAATCGAACCCGAGACCATCGGAAATAAAGCGGTGTGCTAAACCGTTAGACGACCGCGGCCGTCAAGTACCTTTAGTTTGAAGTTGTACATGAAAACTGAAATTGACTTTTAAGTTTTAATTAACTAAAATACGCGAACAACAAATAAACACGTCAAAATGTCGTCTGAGTAGTATTAGCTAGTATTAGCCGCAAAGCAGTTCATTTTGTTACCGGTTGAATGGTGAAATGTGGCAGTGACATTACAAAGTACAGACACATAATACTTTAATCCTCCACAATGACAACAAAAGAACCACAGGCGCCACATGACGCCCGTGCTGCTAATTCTATGTATATGTGATGGCTATTTACCATCAGGTGACCACTTAAATTCCAAACTGTTACTTGGCATAAAAAAAAATTGTTTCACGGAATGGTTATAACTACAAGTTCATGTGACTTTAATACCAGTACTGTATTGAAATTAACTAATTTCAATGATCAAGCTTTGATCAAGTTAATCGGCGGACGAGTACACTATTTAGTATCGCTCGCTAATCAGTCCTGTTGCCCAATATAGGTGTCCTTACTACAGCTATGTGATCTTTCTTATTTCACTTTGCTTATTATATTTGTTACTACAGTCCGATTGAGTCACTAGTGACTAAATTAGACCAGTTTAGCACAGCACTGGTATCTCTTGAGATGGCTGACCCCAGCTATATGATCTCTTGGCTATATCAGTGCATTTTGTGGGAATCAAACTCATGGTCAAAAGCAAGTAGGCAATGTTCTACACATTGCATATGTGTGTTCATGTATTTACATATAATTATGGAAAAACTATTTAAATATGTCTACCAGTTGTCTAGTAGGGATGGTACAGGCTATGGCGAATTTGTAATAGATTGCAGTGTGAGTTTTCTATAAATAGATAACTATATTTGGGAGAGTCATGTTGTTGTAGTTGACTTTTACGACTTAAATACATCTGGAAAGTATTGTGTAGCAATTTACATTTTGGATGGACTGTCTGGTGAAACATAAAGCGACAATAAACCATGCCAATGTGAGGTGTGGCAGTAGGCTCAGCCAGTACCATATCATCTAATTACTAGCCAGCAAAATATGGACTAGTCAAATGTTGCATTCATTTCTATTTCAACAGATGATAATATCTGACCCCAATCTGAGGTAAACAGTGGCATAATATTAAAATGTTTAAATTACGTATGTAAAATTGTTGTATATATTTAATGACATGAGAAAGTGGAAGTCATAACAATCATACCCGGAGGATGGGGTGCCGGTGCCGGTGTATCTGGGGCCACCGTAGTGCCCGGGGTGCTTCTCCCCCAAGACACGGCTCTCTCTGTATTAATTAAAACAATATAGTTAAAACTTTTATATATACTCTATTTAAATTTTAGTTTAGGTATAGAATTGCATTGTAATAATACAATATAATTCTATACATTATAATTCATGCACAAACAGTTTAATAATGAAATCATTTAATTATTAATAGTGCCTACTTTTTCATAGGCATCTAAAAATTATTATATTAACATAATTTATTGGAGTACATTAATGTTAATATTTTAATCCATCTTAACCATTACTTTATTCATTGTGTTTCTGTTAATTTAATCTAATTTATGTAATCTATACTTGCATTATATATATATATATATATTTATTACTATTTTTTGTATGTATACTTTAATATATGTACTTTTCTATACTTTTCATACATATAATGACAGTGAGTTCTAACTAAATTTGTTTTGCAGTTTGATAGTCTAGCCATATTAATTTAATTTCTAATATAGTATCTCCTCCCAAATCTAAGTGTATGTTATATACATAGTGATTGAGTAATCCATTCATTAACAACTTAATATCCTCTTAAGATCACTCTTGACAGTCTTAACAACCTTGGAACTCTTACCACTTGCCATCATCTTTATTATTATCCATTACATTCATGCTTCATTTGATAGATGAAGTAATGCAAAACCTAATTATCATTATAAACTGTAACATTTCAATATTGATTTATGTTAGAATTATGATTGTTCAATGTAAAATAACTAATTCAACTATATTGTTTCACTCAAGTGCTAAATATGAACATAGATAGTATTCAAGTAATGGGACATATATATATAATGGGGCACCATTTTAAATGCTTTAACCTGCTACATTGCCAGTACCAGAAAATATAAATAATATATTTTTAACCAACTATTGTAAATAATTCATTAATGACTTTCTTCAATGCTTTTATTTGTTGATTGTGTTACATACTGGTATGGAAACCTGACTTTTCTAAATATTTTCTGAAAAAGTAATATATTATTTTGGTATGATAGTAATTTATTATACTTAAACTATTTTATTTACTTTATTTTTATTTATTTCTATACCCAGCAATACTGATATTGTACTGTTGAGTATAACACTGGTCCCTAGTAGTACTACTTTCATATTTTCTCAGACAACATTATTTAAAAGTGTTAACTATAACAAATGGCTGATTAACAAACTGTAATTAATTTGTAGGACATAAGAGAGTAAATTGAATAAGTGGATTATGAATTACCACAGTAAACTGCATATATTATGTTGAATACATTGTAATACTTTTTTGACTATTTTATGCTGTTACACCTATTTTTAAAAACACCTGTAACAAACAAAGTGAATGACTACTCATAGCAAACAGTGGCTACACAACATATCATTCATTCAATAACATCACATTACAGATCCACTCTGTGTGGACCTCAATCATGAGATCATACGTGACGCGTTTTATCAGTGCAATATGACGCTATCAATCACAGCGATCGCAGGGCTCGCAGTCACATGACCTATAACATTTCGTAAAGGAAGTACACAGCATCTATACGGTACCAGATAGAAGCACTGGCATTTGTATACAGCTTCGTCACAAAGAACCTTCTAGTCCCAAATTATGCGTTTCATATCGAATCGCTCTGTGCGTTTACGTACCTTGGGTTGGACTGTAACACGAAAATCTTGTTGCTTGTTTGACAATCACTTGTTCTCATTAATAAATGAACTTCATACAAATATTATCATCTATACCAAGTGTAAAATCGATATCTGATTAACGATCAAAATAGTCACACCGTAACGCGATGTCACTGATCTTATAAAGCACCACAAAAAAAACTTGATAGTTCATTAACCAAGGCAAACTCTCAAAAATAAGTATAACTTTGTTAAATGAATTACGAAAGCGAAATAACGGTATATTTCATGAGACTATGAGACCCGACAGAAAATTGCACAAAGAAAGACGTCAAGCAACAGCGCGCACAGATGAGTAACGTTCAGTAAAGCACAGATCAGTAACAAAAGTAGAGAAGCGAACAAATAGGCTTGCCATGTTTTTTTGTATTTCATTAAACGGCGTTCGAAACAACCTCTTACTTTTTGTACCCTATTGCAAATTACTTTTCATCTAACACAGCTATTCAGCTATTATGAGTAAAACAAATAATAACCAATGCGCCATTTATAGCCATAACAATATACGACGGCCTCGGTGTACTAATCCGCTAGACCTAGCAATTAATTCCAGATGCATGTGGAGTATTCGGGATTCTGAAGTTAACGACATACACCTCGCTGATACTCGCAGTCGGACGGTGTATTTCATTATCATCGTACAAAGTAAATCCAAATCCCAAATCATTACAATTACATATTGAGCATATCCGTACTTTGCAGTTGCTACCATAGTTCGCCTAAGATCTTAAACCCCAAACACATTCCATTTTTATTCGTGTCATAATGTAAATACTATTCACATGTTCTTTTTTGATGAATGTAGCTTTATCGATAATTCGATATGAGTGAGAGATTTACTAGTTAGGTTGTCAATGTCAATGTAGTCCACTTGAGCACTGAGAACCCATGACAATTTGACAGCCAATATGAACGACTGTAAAACAAGCGCGGAAACTTTAAACTGAATAGATTAGAATTAGATCCTATTAAAATGGGACTCCCCATTTTAATAGGTAAAAAGAGGAAAAAGGCGATTGCTGAAGATGGCGAATTCAGTCAAAAATAATCCTCCTGAGAAATGGGATTTGTATAAATTCTGTTTTATTCAGACTATTCGTGTCGTAGTTCCGAATATTCGTAGTATTTGTAGAGTCAACAGATATTAAACTATTAGTACTCATGGCATGTCTCTAAAGATTTGTAATAGCTGTTAAATACATAAGAAAACCTAAATTGATTTAAGATTGGATCTGTTTTGAGAAAACTGTTCTGCTTAACCATTTTTATGTAAGCTTCACTTCGCAAGTATTATCAGTTCAACGCAAGTATTCTACAGTGACTGGTGTAATACATAATGTTCAAATAAATATCACAAATAAGGAAATCTTTATTATGCTCACAAATGACAAACTATATTAATCAATGAGCATTGGTATGATGTCGAGATGATATCATGATGAGTGGTAGTGGTCTCTTTTCATTTTAGTTAATTAGCTTATTAGTCATTTCACAAGTTAACAAATATGCCTACTAACAGTGACACATTACATTATTTTTAGTAATTTGTGTAGTAAATTTAAATGTTAAATAATAAATTATATTATTTGTCATTGTAATAATTATCACTTATATAACTATTAATCCTTACTAACTATAATATTCATATATACATATACTATTTGGAATATATGTATGTATACATATACTATTTTTTAAACAAATTCACACTATTGATTTCAAGTATATTTCTTGCTCGCTTATTTTATAACTTTATATTATATTATAGACATACAAAACACACACAGACTACGCTTTGATTGAAATGCGTGGTGGAACATTTCGGTAGGTATTTGCATTTTGTCGTACACCTTTCCTTTTATTTGTAACTTTCGTGAACAGTGATTCATAAATATACAAACATGGATAAGTCCGAAATTATTTATTGCATGAAATGATGTGCACCACTAAATACCCCCGGAGGCGTGCGTAAATTACCGTCACCGTCCTCTATAGAAATACTGAATGTCGTCCTATTGGCAACCTTAATTACCTACATTCATTCTTGTTCGTTAGAATTAGCATACTCTAGTTCACAATACATTTATGAAAATATCATGTATACACGGAAGAACTTAGAGAGTTTTAAAAAACTCAAAAACTGTACAAGTAGAAACTTACGCAATATAAATAAGCTAATTTTACCTAAATGCCGTCTGCACAAAATCAGTAATTCATTCTATGGTAATTGCGTAAGATTTTATAATAAACTGCCAGAATCTGCATTAAATCTGACAGAGAGGCAATTCAAATCTTATATTAAACAATTTTTATGTAAGAAAGCCTATTCCAGGATAGACGAATTCATAGATGACAACATATCTAGTAAATAATTAGTTTATTAGCATACAACGTTATAATTTAATTTTCTCATTGCTTTCTTGATTTAATTGGTTGAATTTAGAAATATGAAAGCGTAGCGGTTTTTGTATTGATTGCCGCATGCATTCTTATGTAAAATGTGAATACTATAACTATCAGATGGTAATTGTAAGTAGCTTTGACGTAGTCTAGTGTTTTGAGTAGTCATGCTCCCTAAAATGTCCAGACTTGTGGCGGCGTGGTGGGCCGGGACATTGGGCTCCCTAAAATATGGTCGAGCGCAGTGATGGCTGGCTGATCCGTCATACTCGTGAACTGGTGCTGCTTGTAGGGACTGGTCTGCTCTAATCACTATGACTGACTTCCTCTTATTAATTTGTTTAACCAGTTGGTTATATATTCAATATTTTTTCTATTTGAGTGTTTAATGGAATTAGTGCTAATTGGTGGTTTGTATTCACACACTTAAACTTAAAAATGTAAAGTTATAATAAAAATTATTTAAAAGAGCAACACGCAAGTTTCTTGCTCGTTCTTCTTGTGATGAGACAGCTTTCCTAACTAGCGGTAGATTGAAAAAAAGTAATGACTATTCAAAAGTGCTTCAGTGTAAGTTTATTTGAATAAATGATTTTCTATTCTATCTAGACGGCGACAAGGAGGTCGATACGTCGCGTCCGTCTGTTTCAGTCTTCTTGACGAGCAGTTCGTGTACAAACGTATGTGCCCTATTTTTATTAAGATCCTGAAATCGAATATGGTACCGTTCAGCTCTGCATCCACACGCGGGACTGGGCGGTGGGGAAGTGAGCGCCAGCGTATATCATACAATCGGCGGAAAATCGTATCGCACAATCCTCATCATGTCTCACGTTCTGTCTTCCGTATGAGGCCTGATGGAGTTCCGAACTGCGTACGTCTGTGCATCGCATGCACGACTTCATCGTGCTGCTTGAGGAGCTTAGCGATGACCCGCAGTTAGACGATCAACACCCGCAATAGTCTGCAGTTGATTTATTTCTAGAATTACCACTTTCTATTGTTCATAATCAGTGGTTTCAGTGCATGGTTGGTTTTGTATTTTAGACGATATAGCTATTTGTATCTCTGACGAATCCAAGTACGAAGTTGCGAGAAGGGTAAGGAAAGAAGCGGAAATTTTATCCATGACAATGTGACACTCGATTATTAGTTTGTTTTCCTGTTTTGTAGTGCTTTCAGCACGGCTTAGGTATTACATTTGATTTGGACATACAATTAATTTTAGTTGTTTACACATAACTTACAGTCAGCTGTTTCCGCCCCAGACAGAACAAGAAATTTACATCGAAATATTGAATTGTCTTTACCGAGCGGTATGTGTATGTTTATGTTGAATTATTGAGGTCATGGAAGTGTGTATTTGTCTTTGTAAACATGCACAAGCTCATTTGTACAGAATAAGAGCTGAGTTTCTTGTCAATTAGCATCTCGAGAGCACTTCGAACTGACTGTTTCGAAGTGCGGGTTTGCATTTACTCCATATTGGTCTCTTTTTTACTGTTTTATTTGTATGGATATTTTCTGTTGAATGAATGTTAAGTTAGAGTTCTGTCACACGAAGCAGCAATCAGAGGCTCGAATTCAATTGTTTAGTTCGGTACTGTAGTAGTTTTAGAACTGTTGTGTTCTGGCAATGTGTGGTACCCTATAGATCAAAATGGTATAGTCAGATGGCAGCTATAGTCATACTTCTTGTGATTTATGAACACAAAATTCTCTGAGAAGACCTTATTGAAATTAATTTTGTCCTCGTTCACCAAACGCCCTATAAACCAGAACGTAACTTTCTATATAACCTCCATACACAATATACAAATCCAAATTAAATGACATCTATTGACACGGTATCCTATGAAATCTGTCATTTTAGAACGTGTGTGGTTTTTCTTATCTTTCAGTATGTTTGCACTGAGATCGCTGATTACTGGAGTGATGCGTTCCAGAAGAGTCCTCTCAAAAGTACAGAACCCAATAAAAATCCAGAAGTTCGGCCATACCCATGATGGACCCCCACAGCCATTCGACAATATGCCGTTCAACGTCACAAATCGGTTAGAATATAATGTTGATCCATAACTTTTTCATTACAGATTATTTTTAATACATAAAATTAATAATATATAGCCGTCTTTGATAAATCTATCTTCACAACGAATTTCATTAAGATTCGTTGGATGAAAAAGGCATATTGTTGAGTTTACGTATAAGTGTAGGTATTTATTATATCTGGATAGACTCGTTCATAAATTACGTAATCATGTTGTGACAGAATCCATGCGATCTTGTCTCATAACACTAAATTTTTTTATTCACTTAAGTTGGGAATTTTTTATGGATGATAATGGAATGGTGCTTCCATCTGCTCTAACGTTATATGCTGTCGGGGCACCAGTAGAATGATAAGATGAACTTGAGGTCAGTTAGTTAGTCCATAGTGACATTTTCACCAGAAATGTATCATAGCTTCCAGGGATTCCCCCTGCGTCAACCTGACAGGTCCATTGTTACCAATGGGATGAGCAATCCACATTATTTACATCCTGTCATACCAGGGAGTAGGGTTTGTTAGTTTTTTTTATATGATAATGGAACGGTGCATCCGCCTGCGCTAACAGTTTACGCTGGCAGGATCAGGTCAGTTAGCCCATCATGACAAATTCACCAAGAATTTATCACGATGGTTTCCCAGGGGAATTGCGTGGAGGTCCACCTGACATGGTACATTACTAGCAATGATGTAAGTACTCCACAAATAGAAATAGAAATAGAAATAATCTTTATTCAAATAAACTCATTACAAGCACTTTTGAATAGTCATATTTTAATTCTACCACTCATTCGGAATGCAGATTCATCACAAGAAGAATGAGCAAGAAACTTGTGTGTTGCTCTTTTTAATAGATATTTTTTTTTATATAAATAATTACAGTATAACAAGTAAGAGGCGTGCGATAATCAACATAGAAGTCGCTACGCACTCATTATTAATGTAATCAGATAATATTGTCAGTGCTATGGATTTAAAGTTTTTCTATAAAAACATTATTATTGTTAACGAATTCTTCAATTTTATAGTAAGCTTTTTTTGCAAAGGAACTGTTTTATTTGACATTTAAATCTCTTTTCTGGCAGATTTATAACAGACTCTTGTATTTTAATGTAAAACCTTACGCAATTGCCATAAAACGAATTACTAACTTTAGCCAAACGACATTTAAGTAAAATCAGTTTGTTATTGTTTTGTAAGCTTTTATTAGTGCAATCACTAACTCTTTTGAAACTCTATATTCCTTCTGGCATAGAGCCACATTACTTACAATCCCCATTCCCCAGGGATTGTTGGTTTTTTTATGTGTATGATTATGGAATAATGCACCCGTCTGCGCTAACGGGTTACGCTGGCGGGTCACCAGTGAAGGTTCTTAGGATGAACATAAAGTCAGGTCAGTTAGCCCATCGTGCTAAATTCACCGGGAATTTATTACGATGGTTTCCAGGGGGAACCGCGTGGAGGTCAACCTGACATGGTACATTGCTAGTAATGGGGTCATGAGTCCACATTACTAACAATCCCTTTCCCCTCAGGGATTGTTGGTTTATTTTATTGATGATAATGGTATGGTGCACCCGCCTGCGCTAACGGTTTACGCTGGCGGGGCACCAGTGGAGGATGATCAGATGAACATGAGGTCAGGTCAGTTAGCCCATCGTGCCATATTTACCAGAAATTTATCACGATGGTTTCCAGGGGAACCGCGTGGAGGTCTACCTGAGGGATTGTTGGTTATGGACTAGCAATATATACCAACCTCAAATTAAAAAAAGCTGTAGTGGTTGTTTCATGGTATATGACGTAGGTAATTATAGGCTAACTGGACTGATTTCATACTGATCCTAATAACTAATATTGTCCACTAAACTAATCACATTATGCATCAACTGAATGTTTGTATACCAGGTACTTTGCCAGTGTGTTCTTCGCTTTCTTCTTCGGCAGCGGTTTGTGGATACCATACTTCATAGTCTGGTACTCCATGGCAAAGAAAACTTTGTAACTTGAAGTAATAAAGATTATTTCAGTTTATAACTATTTAAAAATAAAGTAAAACCTATTTTTTAGTATACTAGTTCATTTAACCAAATGTACTCAGTTACAAAATAAAACTTAATATAAAGATTAGAACTTTTCATACTAAAACCATGTACATTTTGTACATCAGAATTTAAAAAAATCAATTTAACTCTTTGCGACAACTGTTTATTATCAAGAATACTGTAGTATAGTCTAACCCTGGTTGTATAGGATATATAAAACACATTTTACATTTTCTTAATAGTATAGATGGTACTGTTAAGAAAATAGAAATGTGTTTCTATTTTCTAATGTGTTTCTAATTAATTTTACCTGTTATAACTATACCTATTTAGGCTGCTTTATTTGAAGTGAGATCTAATATCATATATTACATGAAAATGAAAAATATAAAAATACAAATCCCAAATATAACCAATGACATTGTAACACTTTTACATGAATAATTTTCAAATTTGATATTTTGATTCAGTTTATCTATGTACTGATCGCACCGTATTAATTTCAAGCACTCTTCTAGAAGAGTGCTGGAAATATAGAATAACAAATGAGCTAAAGACACACCAGTTGGTAAGTTTTTGGCATATTAGTTTGATAGTGTATGCTATGATTGTACTTATAATTATTAATAAATAAACACAAGTCAAACAAATAGATTAGTTATAGTTACAGATGTAATTGTAAGCATTTGATGCATTAGAGAAAATACTTAGTTAGAAGTGAATCTGAAGATTGGTTTGAATTATAATTAATAATGCATAAAATTAAAAAAGTTTAAAAGTAACACATGAAAATTCTCAATCTGTTACAATAATACCCCTACAAATGGACTGTTTAAGGTACTTTTTAATATGAGATCCCAATAATTCCACTAGTGGAAAACTAAGGTATGCTATTATGAAATAAAACAAAAATTAATACACTAATAAATTTATTAAGTAAAGATTGCTACAGAGTTGAGAAAACTATGGCCATGATGGTGGATCACCCTCTTTGACCTTACCACCATACAGACATGACTTGTCCCTGAAGTTAACCATCCTGAGTGTTTCCTGATCATCAAGGAATTTTCCAATGAAGTAACCAGTCAGTGGGATAAGTCCCCATACATATCTTGTTGTTATACCGAAAATAGCCATTTTAATTTTGCTTCTGCTGCGCCTTCCACTTTCTAGTGTGATTCCAGTCCAGCCAAATGCAACTCAATGTTACAATTGGGCAGGTTACACTTACCAGATTCCGACGGAGGAACCTGCCTATCGCCATATAACTGGAATGTGAGAGCAATTCAATATTTAATCAATTTGTTTTGAGATACAAATACATAATAAATAATAAATTCACTTTAATTCTCATGGAAAAGTCATGACTCAAATGTGTGGTGCAAATTATAAAGTGTATGTAGAATGAGGTACATGTATATTAACCTTAGTACTCAGTTTTCCATCTACCCCAAAGAACATCTTTTTTTTTATTTACTTCATTTATCAATACATTTTCTTGTATAATGTTCGAGTACTTGTTTTAGTTACAATAAAAAATATTTGTTATCTACTTATAAACAATCTGCACATCTGGTTTGGTTAGAGCAAGTTAGGCAATCATTTGTTATTTTAATTGCTAAAATTTTACAAACATTTAGATTATTTTAACATTACATAGATTTACAATAGATATTTTAAAAGAATAAGGTTGATTACTATATTAGTAGAAAGAAATCCAGAGCAATCACTGCTGATCTAAGCTGTAATTATTATATAACACATTTAAAGTTATCATTTAAAATATATAAAAAACAAAACAAATGATAGCCAATGACTAAATATAATACTCAAATGCATCTCGTAAAGACAAAAGTGAGTATTGTTCTCGAAATTCGGCAATTAATATCCTACGCCACAAATTGAAAATAGTCTGGTTCGATATTTACAGATGACTTACACAGGTATACTTAACAAACACAGATTGAAAAATAAAATAGATCTTAAACACAAATGTACTTTAGCATGGCATTAATGGATAAATAATAATTTTATTCAAATAAAATACTAACCTAGACGATCAGTGACGACTTTAAGAATTCAGAATATTTTTCGCAATTGACAAATTTGACAATGCACAAGTAGACAATCTTCATTATGTCAAGTAGGCACAGACTAATAACTAGATTCTAAAATTAAACCCACAGAGTAAATATACAAACTATATGAGAAAATCATAGTAGTTAATTTTGAACTTTCGTGTTTATTTTTGTATTTATTATATATTTAAGACCCGGTTAATAATTTAAATAAAGTCATAGTAGTCTGATTTTTTTTTATCTTGAAAACATTGCTTCTAGCATGTTATGCCGGGGCAGAGGTTCGCTGCGAGGCTTCAACCGGAACCGACTAGACAGAAAAAAAGACGACTGACTGACACGAATTCGATATCTTTTTTTATTATTATAAATTAATATTTTTAGATCTGTTTCTTTATATGTCGTGTTTTTAATAAATTTCAATATTTGGTAACTAAGGTAAGACAAAGTCTTAAAAATATAAAAAAAAATTTTTTTTTGATCGGATTTTCTCACGGCAAAAGGACTCAGCCCATACAGCCAAATAATTGTAATATTAAAAAAAAGCCTACTCTGTATTTTGTATGTCATATTTTCACTTTTTTTTTAATTAAAGTTCAAATAAATTCTTTCACAATATCTGAAATTTAAAAAAATGTATGGCATCTGCTATTGATTATATGACCACAAAATAGGAACATACCAATACATCTGCAAGAAAACAGTGCAGGATTAATCAGTATTGGCATTTTATGAAATATAAGATTCAATCAAGAGGAATTGGTAAAAGCCAGTTTAATGGTCAGCTCTTTAATTCTATATTTTGTATAAATTTCCTAATCTTTACGAAACGATTTATGTTAAAGTCTTGTATTTTTTGGATTTCAGTTTGTCGTGACATTTACATTATTTCCGTAAACATTGTGTGCTGGTAACAGTGCATATCATGTTAGTAAATTTATAAGTATCATATCATTAGACCTGTACAGACCTTCAGAATGGATGATGATGATAAACAGTCAGTACCTCCAGTTTCTACACCTAGAAAACTACTGAAGGAGCTAGCAGAGTTAAAAAAACAACGGGGTTACTTGAAGGGCCGACTAACTCAGTTTAGAAAGTACTTGGACTCATTTCAAGTTAGTAGTCCATCTAAACATGAAATAAAAGAGATTCAGTTTAGGATGAAAGCTACTATGGATCTATACAAAAACTTTAATAATATTGAAACCCAAATTGAGTTTCTTATTCCAGAGTCTGAAGCAGTAAACAATTCTGAATATGTTGAATCATTTGAAGCACTGTATTTTGATATTATGGCTACTTCAGAAGGTTTAATAGAATGTAATGAGACTGGTGGCAATACTAATAAGCCAAAATTTAATAATATTTCTAGCGATGAAGTTCCTGAAGTCAAACTTTCTTGTTTTCCTGATATTAAGCTCCCATCCTTTGATGGATTATCATTTGATGCTTGGCTCGCGTATAAGGACTCCTTTGTCACTATGATACATGAGCATTCAGAACTAAATGATATCCAGAAGTTCTATTACTTAAAATCTTCACTAAGAAACAGTGCATTGCAGGTAATAAGTGAATTGGAATTCACATCTAATAATTATAAGCATGCATGGGATCTGTTACAATCTAAATATCATAATCCAAGTCTTCTGGTAAATAATCATTTGAAATCATTATTTTCAATTCCTTCTATGAAACAAGAATCACACACAGAAATTAGGGAATTGATTGACACTGTGTTATGGAATTTACGAGCTCTAAATTCATTGGATGAGCCTACAGACTCTTGGGACACAATAATCATTTATTTAATTGTTACAAAATTGGATACTGCCACAGAGCGCGACTGGAAGAAACATAAAGGGACACTTCTTTGTGAATATTCTAGGAAATTAAAGTTGGATGATTTATTGTCATTTCTCCACAATAAAGCAGACAAGTTAGATATGATAACTTCCAGTCACTCTAAGGTATAGAATAGTCCATGATTAGTATTAATGAAAATAAGGAATGGACACCATAAAAATAATTTACAATTGGTACATGGTTATGTATAAACTGCATTTAAGAGCAAATTTACTAATTATAACCATAATAAACACTATTCTTACTCGTCATGTAAAGGTAGTAATCTAATTTATTTATGTTTTTATTTTCTAATTTTATACTTTGATGAGTATTAATGAGTCATGTCATATTATTATATTTAAGAATTAAAATTTTCAAAATTAAAGAATTATAGAGAAAAAGTTTGTTTTGTCATGCAACACATAACATTGTTTTCCCATTTTTCACAACTGAAATCGAATTATTTATAGGCGCGGATATTAGACGATGATAGAAATCAATTAATAAACGGACTATATTTTAAGTTAAGTTTAAAGTTCTCATTTGGTTGGTTGATATTTGTCTGTGTACCTCTGAAGAAACCGCCCGAGGCCTTTGGTGATTCATTGACACTAGCTAAAAGTAGATTTCTTTTGCTCAAACTCAAACGAATGTTAAGTCACCTGAATCGTATAGATAGAGTTGATCATCCTAACTACTTCGAACGTCTTCAGGATGTTTTTGAATACGATAATTTGTAGTAGTCTACAAAACTTCAGTTCATTAGACAAATTTCTCAAGGACATAGATTTACTCTGTCCAGTTCTTCAAAACGATATCTTTTCTATTATATTATATTCAGTGGTGGTTATCATGCGCCAGAAACCTTTTTAGAAAAATAGTCCGTGAGTATATTATTTGTATATTTGTATGCATATCAAAGTAAAACTATGACCCTCCTTTCATACGAATGGATCCTATTTCTATCCATTAGATTTATATAAATCCGATCCTATATCCTGGGTCAATCATGACATTAAATCGAAGGGGCAGACACAAAGAATTACATTGAACATTACGTTTGCTCGGTTACTTTGGCAGTTCATTTAGAACTTGTAACCAGCTTATCTACTGAAGAATATATTTTATCAATTAAAAGCTTCATTAGCAGACAAGGTAAATCTAATTCTATATTTTCTAATAAATCTAGTTTCGTCGCAACAAACATTTTTTTTTCCTTTTTGTTAATAATAGTAAACAAATCGTTATAATTTGCCACAGATGAATGATGCTACTTTCATTTAATCCCCCTTTATTCAGATTAATACTATTATCTATTAAATAATACGATAATTCCTACAGATTAATAAAACCTTTGACGTCTGGCCATTTCCTTATTAGCTGACCATTAAAATCAAATCAAGTCAGGTTGACTGCTCCATCAGTGAAGAATTTGCTATACATCACTTCACGACTGTATCGTTACCATTACATTGAGTACCTGACGTCCGCAATTCTCGCATCGTTAGTCCAGAGAGTACGTGTTAGAACTCCAATAAAGGGGTTAAGTGGAAGTTGCAATAGAAAGTATTGAACTGGGCGCTTTAGTTATTTTAGAGGACGAGAAATTGACTGGATTGTTGGATTTGTCCCAAAGTCAATTTGAGACTCTCAAATTGACTTTGGGACAAATCCAACAATTATGTCCGGGTGCGAACGGTATCTCCCGTATAGCAAATATTTGCATGGCAAAAGAAGGCGTTTACTAAAATTTGCTTCTCACTACTGCAGCCAGAAGAGAAAGACATCATATATCCTACAGTAGGAAGTCAAAGCTTCAAAGGTCGAGGGTATATCGACGACATCTCCCATAAATATAATTTCTGTTCTAATCTAAATCTCAATTGCATGTAACTTCAATGTTAATGTCAAAAATATAGTTATATGAAGGTCTCTTACTGAATACCTTTGCAATTCAATCATAGGAAGAATTGTTTGACTTGATTCCTACAGCTAGTAGACATTATGTCAAACAATTGTGTAGAACGACCCAACAATGCATCGTATATTCGGTAAACCACAAAGTTCAAAGTAAGGGTTTTCATAACATGTTTCATAAGAAAATGAATTAAGAGGACCGAACTAGTATGGTTAGGGTAGTAGGATAGAAAAAAATGGAGTTATAGAGACTGCCGAGTCTATCATCAAATCTACGTTTTTACTTCTATGCCAATAGAAGTAAAAGAACTTTTAGTATGAATATTTAAAATATTCATAAAATTTAATTAAAATTAGCAACGTCATTCTGGTTTTCACTTCTATTTACACTTCAAGCAACAACTATATGGTGTTTATAATAAACACCATATAAAGATGCATATAATTATAAAATACAAAAATATATTACGGGTTGTACAAGATTATGACAAAATATTAATACAATTCAATGGAAATAATTAATCCTTACTAATAAAGCGACAGACAGACAGAATTCTGTTTGTCTGTCGCGCTTTCACGCCAAAACTACTGAACCGATTTAAATCAAATTTGGTATACAGTATAAACTGAGGGTTGAAAGGGAACAGGAAAGCCATACAACCTACGGAAGTATCGCCGCGTATATATTTTTAAAGTTAGAAGCTTGTAACTTATTATTTAGGCTGATGAATAAATATAAATATTATGTTCAGTTTCTCAAAATTTTACCCTTAATATAAATTGATTGGATGAAAGTTTTTATGGAAATTCGTTATTTATGAACTTTGAATTATAAAGTTTTTATTATTAGCCTAAATGATTAAAAAGGCGATCCAAGGTCACTATACCACGCTAAGATGCGGGAACAGCTAGTATAAAATAATATTAAACGTGAGTAGTATTTGTATATATGTATATGTACTTGATTTTTAAAATTGCGTCATTTATTTCAATAATATTTAGACTTTTTCTACTTTCAATTATTGCATTTAATTCTAAAAAAGATACAATAGAGGTAATTATTTATCGTGAGTAAGAAATGAAAATGTTTGATTCAATTTGTAAGTATCGCGTAAAACACGAAACGACTGTTTTATATATTGTAGTACCTGGGTACTGAATTTTTGATCTTCGGAAGTGTTTCATTTAGTGTAACTTTTTACTGCTCCCTTCTTAATATTTTCATCAGTCTGTCTCTAGTTCTTATTATTGTTTTGGCTACTAATTTATAATAATTTTATCCGTTTAAGTATATTTTTTATTCATGTGACTTTTTCTTAATCATGTGCCTTGTCTAATCTGTGAAGTAGACGCTTCACTTCATACAGTAGGTAGGGTCTCTACATTTTAAAATTTTGTTTTTATTGTTTATTGTTGTTACATTGACTATAGTTTGTTATCGGTGTGTTTACATATCAGATCACATGTTTAGTGCAGCATGTTTATTTTTGAACTCGGTAATTAAAATTAAATTATTTTCAGTAGAACTTTGTATTTTTTCGCCATGTTAAGTCTATAGCACCCTTCCTCAAGGACATGATCGATCGGATTTTTTTCAGTGCTAAACGTTGAAGGCCTGAAGATCGACCTTAAATGAAATTGATTCGATCGATCAAGCCATTTCGGAGGAGTACCGTTACAAAGAGTGCAAATCTTATCTCTAAGATCGCTCCGCGCTTCGTATTTCGCTCTATAACACTAATTTCCATTGAGTTATGACCCACTTGAGTGAAATTTGTTACAATGTAAACGATTACTAGGAATACTAGTATTTAGTTAATGATATGTCACGGGGTTTTGGATATACATATTGAAAATCTTAAACATATTTTTTATATATATATTAATAATCCTTACTAATATATTATTAGCAATGTGAAAACGTCGAAACTACTGAATCGATTTTAATGAAATTTGGTACACAGATAGTCTGAGAAAGGGAATGGTTACGTTTAATACCACAAAAGGTAGAAGTTTGTTCTTATTTTGTAGGCTCTTGATTAAATATGAATAAATATGATATACAAAGTATGTTATTATATAACCCTTAAGGGGTAAAACAAAATGGAAGATGAAAGTTTCTATGGAAATTCGTTATATTTTAAGTTAGAACAATGAAGCTATTTCATTGGGTTTTTGGGTCATTGGACTCTCTAAAATATGGTCGAGCGCAGTGATGGCTGGTCATACTCGTGAACGAGTGCTGCTTGTAGGGACTGGTCTGCTCTTATCACTACGACTGATTTAATCTTATTGTGTATATTTGAGCCTAAATAAATTAGTGCTGGTTGGTAGTTTGTATTCACACGTTTCGACTTGTAAAATGTGAACTTACAAGAATTGTTTAAAAGAGCAACACACAAGTTTCTTGCTTATTCTTCTTGTGATGAGACAGCATTCCGAATGAGCGGTAGATTTAAGAAAAAAATCTTGACTATTCAAAGGTGCTTAAATTAAGTTTATTTCAATAAATTATTTTCTATTCTATTCTATTCAAAGTCGCGGGCATAGCTAGTACTATATAATGTACATGATCTATACGATGCATTATGTATAATACTATTTACAACAAATAACATAACGAAATGTAGGTACGAGTTTCAAGTGACTATCTGAAGAGGTAACTTAGAAAAAGTAGAGTTCCTTAAAGACTAAAATATACTTGGTGAATAAAATATATTGAGGTTTAACTTTGTTTTATTTCTAACAATGTGCTTTCAATAAACCTATCTCTAGATAAATTCATATAATAAAAGACGTAAGCCAATAGAAAAATAAAGTAGCAGTAAAATTAACAAAAGTAAATAAAAAGTTACGAGAATGACAAAATTTATATCAGTCATAGTTGAATTAATACAAATATTGTATAATTTTTCGCTAGGTATTCTTTGTTTGATTTGTAATGTGATGAAAATCTTCATAAATTGGAACACTCGTTCCGTACGGGTGAAATATGAAAGATTCATACTGACTAAAATTTCCACGGTGTTCCTCAGTATGCCAGGGGAAATACATACATTTGTAAGTGTTGTATTGCGACTGCTGTAGGGGTAGTATTAAAACATCTCACAAACTGGGCCGCGGCTACAGCAGGTATATCCCGCAGAGTAATTAATTGTACATAGCTCTGCGTCTTATTCAATCTGTTTGGCTAATGGTATTAAAAGTGCTGTGTAGTTAGTTACTAATTGAGCCTTTATTGCTATGTTATGTGTTGTGCTATGAACAGAATATGCGAGTGTTGTCCTGCTAGCTATATAAAGATATAGTGAGGAGTTTTGCCTTTTAGTAATCTAATCCAAAGCGTTTTTAACAGTACTCAACATTTCTTGCATATTGTGAAATGTATTCAGGAGCAGCAGATAATAACAATTCAAAACCATAATACGAATTACAATTCTATCTTTATTTTCATGAAAGTTATGAACGAATGTCGTCGGAACGTCGGATCTACCCGTTAGTACCCGGAGATGGTACGGTAGCCATTTATGGGCCTGATAGCCATGACTCAGTGTATGATGGAATTACTATAAAGTAAGGTCAGTTAAATCATCGTGACAAAATAACGATGATGTCTAGTAGAGACCGTGTGGAGATCGAGCTGGTTGACATCGTGACATGCTACATAAATAAAAATATGTAAATTTATTCAAATATGCCTTCGTAGGGTAATAATGCCTTCGAGTTATCATTACCTTAGTGGCTAATAGACTGACGACAGGGGCGGCGCATGCTGGGACAAGGGGTTCGAGTGGGGCCCATTCCGGTCGTAAAGCGTCCCCTTGGTGGCCTGCTCCTGTTGTGGATGGTTGTCTTAGGGTTGTAAGTCTGTCGTCCTCACAACAATAGTTAAAATAGGGGAGTCGTATCCCGTATTCCAAGGCGTCTTCCAACTGGGAAGAGCTCCCCCCACGTGTTGAGGGCCCGCTTGCGGGCAACCGCATAGGGTTTATAATAAGTAGGAGTCTCACAGTACTTATCTCTTCAACCACTAAGATGGACGGAACTCCATGAGGGATTTTCCCTGCGTAACAATAAAGAGTAAACCCAGATTAGCATACAAAATAAACTAATAATATTGTCGTAGTAGTGTAACAAACTTCTAATTGACAAGACTTATTTTTCTTGGTCCATTCCGAACAAGGCTGCGATGTTAACGAATAAATAAATTTGGCACAAATGTTTGCCACAAACTTTTTTAAACTTCGTTCCACATAGAGTAAACATAGAGCAAAATATAGAGCAGCCCCAGGGATAACAACCGTAAGAGAATCCTCGTAGAGACGAGATTCCGTATGTTAATACGGAAATTCGCAAAATACAATATGTATGTTGTTAAAGAGTTGATCTAATATATAGTACAAGATTTTTATTTCTGTGTATAACACAAAAATGACTGAGTAGCTCTACCTTACTTTATTCTTTGCTCTAGCAATGTAGTACATTGCAAGTCTACATGTTGGCAGAATTTTAAAATATTATATTGCCACTTGACAAAAAAAAATATGAATGTCTGCACCATGAAAATTGTGTTACGTAAATATTGGTGGTAAAATGTACGTATTTATAAAAAAAGCCCGTATTTTATAATTATGGATAAGTTAAAAAAAATTCAAAATCTACAAAACTTTACAACAAATAAAAAAAAAGATTTGTCACGTACTCTACGTGTTAGAAAAATTTTAACTTGCAATATTATTACATTATATTGTTGGCTAACCAGGGCTGACCTGACTCAGGCCCTGCCAACCGAACAATAAAGGAGAGCATTTCAGAACATGTAATAGCCCACTTCGTCGTATTCATCGGTTCGTCGCGATTTGGTTATACAAATTGTAGTGTTCTAAAATTACATTGGTTTTAATGAAGTGAACAATATTATTGGTGATGTTGACCTTAGGCTTATTGTTATTTCGTAAACAAACTGTAAAAGAACACACCTTTACTGTAGTAATCCGTCAAAAATCGAGAAAGCTTCAAACGTGTTTGAAGCTTTCGTATTCGCATTAATGGAACTATGAACCTGGACCCTTTAACGTTGAGCTTATCGCAAATCAATTATCTTGTTGTTAATTTAAATAAGAAAAACTTCAAACAAACGAGTCAGGAGTTGTCACAGGTGAGTGATTTTACATTTGTGCTAATTTCTACAGCTCGTCTTTGTTTTCTATTGTCGCCATATTGTAAAGTCGGGCGGCCACGGACGTTCGGTAACTGCAACGTTGTTGTAAAAATTATCGTGTTTATTAATGCAATGTTCACAGTTTGTTGCCAAGTAGCAGCATATAAATAATTATGATATTATTAGCGTTTCGTCATTGGGATCGCCATTATTCAGGTTTGAATGTATCTAGTTTTTTTAATTACCACTTATAACGGGTTAAATCTGATGATGACAATGTTGTATTTGCATTTAGATTGCGGATAAGAAGATTACAAATGCAACTAAATAAACACTTCTCTAAGATGCCTATGATGAATAGATTGTATTATAGTAAATTGATTTCTTTGTGTGAATGTAGAGTCCTTTCATAATCAATATCAAATCTATTTTAAAGACCTAAACAGTATTACACTAAATGGGGAAGGGGTTTCATTTTAGAAATTTTAGAATAAATAAGGGAATTTATTCATTATATGTCTGATTTGATTTAATTCAATTTTTAACTTAATAGTATAATAATACTATTAAATAAAAAAAACTGCTTTTAATATTAAATACTAATGGAGAATAATAGGGATGAACATCCCATTGCTAGTAACATATTATGTCAGGTGGACCTCCATGTGGTTCCCTCTGGAAACCATTATGATAATTCCTGGTGATTTTTTCACAATGGGCTGACTGACCTGACCTCATGATCATGCCATCATTCTACACTGATGCCTATTATATCCCATTCATAACCAACTTAGACTCTACATTCTCAGACCTGTGTTTTTTTTTATTTACACATATGTATAATAAAAAAAAACACTGGTGCCTTGTAAGCTTAAACTATTAGCATAGGCAGTAGCACCGATCCATTATAATCCATTAAAAAAAATTACATGATGTTAGGTTAGAAACAAGTTCACAAGGTATTAACTGTAATAGTTATGTGGAGGGTTGGACGAATGGACTCACCTTATGTTATGATTGTCAAATTTCCCACACATTATGTGCCTGTTAGACAGCCAGTCCTTACTAGAAACATGGAACAATAGCTAAAAAATAGGTACTACTGTAATGTTATAAAGATTAAAACAGTCACTTTTCTGAAGAAACTTCAGTGTTTCAGTAAACTGTCAGAAAATTTAAGAGTTTTTATGGGTTGTCAATGTATGTAGATTGTGGATTACTGTATATGTGACAGTTTTTTTTGCCATCATTATAATAGTAATAAGAGTGATGGATAGAATAAATATATTTTATTTGTAATAATAATAACACACTAAATACTCCAAAACTACAGTATAAAACATAATTTGTATTGAAAATATTTAAGTGATTTAGGATACATTGTGTTTTCTTAGTGAGAGATTATTTGAAAAAATAAGGTAGGTAGGTAAACACAAATGACTACCATTCTTCTGCAAATTAATGTTTATATAAATACTAGCTGTCCCGGGAAACATTGTTTTGCCATATAAATTAAAATCGCTATTAAAAAATAGGGGTTGATGCTATAAGGGTGAATATTTAGAGTTGTATGTATTTTTCAATGTCAATAAAATATTATGTCAAAAAAATAAAAAAATATATTTAGGGGTGGAAATCCCTTAGGGGTATGAAAAATAGATAGTCGCCAATTCTCCGACCGACTGATATGCCTATAAAATTTTATAAAAATTGATCAAGTTTGGGAAGAGTATGGTAACTAACATTGTGACACGAGAATTTTATATGTAAGATATAGTTTGTTATATGGCCAGTTAATGAGTTTCTAATTCAATAACCAAATATTAATAATTTCAATCTCTAATTAAAATTAAATATACAATATTTAATGATTCCGATTTGGCAGGATGCAAGCTTACCACCTCCTAATTTTCATTTTCAAGCATTCCACCTATCAAATTAATTAGTTTGATATTAATATTATCTTCACTGGAGAATTAGTAAGACATATAATTACCATATCATTTTTCACATCCTTGGTTAACACCAAGGATGTCAAAAATGATATGGTAATAAGGGGAGTAAATAATGAGATGACAGCGAACAGGGATATATGGAAGATAAAAAATACTATGCGGACCCAAAGTAAATGGGTTAAGGCAGAAGAAGATGATGATGATGATAAATTACCCCAAGTATTTTTGTGTCAGTCACATTTGAACTTTTTGTATATTTTAAGCTAGTAAACCACTTGACCACTACACTTTCATACACATTAAATTTTACATAATCCACAAGGTGTGCAATATAATGGCATTAATATCATCTTTGAAATTTTAGGTATTGAATAATATTATAATAGATTGATTATCTTGGTATGGAGATGTAATGTAAATGAGTGAGGCCTATATGAAAGATTTTTATGTTAAAGTTGATGTATAGAGAATACGATCATTATGTGAAAAATAATATGCAAAAACGGAGACTAATCTCAGGTGACGACTGATAGGGATTGGTGGATGAAAATTGCATACTGCACAGACTATAAAACAATGGGATAAGCAAGGCCATTAATGTAAGAATTATATAGAAATGTTAGTCTTATCAGTTGAATAACATGTTTCTAAGAAGTAACTCATGACTAGCAATTTCAATAAAAAATGCGTGCACAAAGAAAACATTATTTCAATTCCTGGATAAAATATAATAGGTATGTAAGCATCTGTTGTATACTGCTGCAGTATAGATATAATTTATGGCTGTTTATGTGTGTAGGGACCGGAATCATTTTCGATCGAGTACGTTCAATTAAATAAAATGATATCTTCTTGTTCTTATTTTGAATGGCTGACACCAATTTAAATAATATCTATAAAACAGCTTAATTTCAAAAACTTACCTCTGTGATCAATATATTTTAAATATACCGCGTTTTAATGAAAATATGTTAGCGCGTCTATCATTTTCGTGACACCTGTGCGCAATCGCCATTTTGCCGTTCCTGCGTCTAGGTAGTGCATCCGAAATATATTTCCAATTTTAAAATAATACTCATTCCAATTAAGTATTAAGTCACATTTTAAATTAATTATTAGTGTGTTTGTATCGTGTTAGTACATTAGTTGAACATGTGACAGTTCTTGTAAAAAACTAATACCTCTATCGGACAATGACTTCGCTGTACACCAGTTTGCATGCAATTGCATCTAGTGCAATGAAATCGATACGTCCATTCCAATCAGGTAAATACTTTAATTAATATTGTACGGATGTTACGACTTATATAAGAGCTATAAATAATATTATAATTTACATAAGTGCAATAAGATTTCTTCTTTGCACTGAGCTGGAAACGTAACATGAGAAAACTAGATTACATACCTATATATGACTAAAGCCTTTGTCCAATATATTATACAACACTGTAACAGTCAGTAGAATAATAGGATATTTAATTGCATGATGTCACGTTATATCTTATGATTGCAGTTAAGAACTGCTTGCATATTATAGTAAAGACTCAAAATACTAGAGTCAAGTTTTTATTTATTTTCATATTTCTGAACATTGAGGAGATGACTTAATAAAATAAAAATGATATCTTTATTTCTTAATTGGTGAGACTAATTGATGGCAGATAATACTGTTTAATTTGACAGGTTCGTTCCGGTACTTCGTTATTGAAATTATTTTCTTAAATTCTGAAAATCCTTTATTAGGACGGAATTTCACACAATTGTGTGCTTGAATCAGTGTTGTTTTATCATATATCTTTAATTTTATTGCTTTTATTCAAAATTTTCTTGGACTCACAAAAATGGGATGAGGGCTAGGTAATTATGACGATGATGACTCTATTGTTTCGTCTTAACTTTTTATTCGCACTGACATCGATAGTCACCTTTTTAATCGATCTTTCGAGAAATGCATTTGTTTTAAGGTAGAATGCAAAATTGCGGAAATAGGAAATAGAACACGATATATGTATGATTAATAATGATTTTGTGTTATGTACTAATCAATTTAATTACTTTAATATTCTCAAAATAATAGCAAGTTTTGAAAGTTATAAGATAACTAGGAATTACTCCGCGTCTTTGACAATTGAAAATTTCATTCCTTCAAGATTAATGTGGTGATATAAGATAGCCTATTTATCTAGTAGTATATTTTCTCTTAATTAGCCGCCTTTTCGTATAATGTTATATTTTTAGGCCAATTTTTTATTACCGTTCAGCCGTACAGTCGTTAACAATCAGCAAGACGGCCTCTTTATGAAATTTATAATAATGGGATTGGGTATGTGCTCAACGCGAATATTTTTCAAAATTATTTAATATATTTTTGTTATAATTTGTAATAACGTTATTGAAGTCCTTTTCAAAATTATATAATATATTTTTGTCATAATTTGTAATAACGTTTTTAAAGTCTTCAACTTCTGAGGTAGGTATAGAAAATAACCGTGTTTCAGGAATCAGTGTCTCTTCCATATTGTGGTGTATTTGCGAGTGATTTTATCAGGGTATTATTCAAGACAATTGTGCAATTTTTATGTATATCTAAACAATGAAGTGACTAATATATTTTTAGATATTTTTTCTATTTTAATAACTAAACATTACTGAGTCAGATATATTAATGCAGCAAAGAACTAACAAATCTTTTATCATATATTCAGTTTTTATTAATCACACTAACAACTACAATGAAATTAATCGAAATAAACGTGTAGTATTATATTAATTATGTTTATGTTTTTAAAACATTAGTACATTATATATAGTATATTAAATTACTCATTTATATAAAAAATATTATTCTCGTTACCTTATTAATGGTAGTTATACGAATAAATTTATATACATATCATATATAATAAACTATCTTATGTCTATATATATCTTTTATAAATATATTAACATTTATTTTTTATCTGTTTATGTATTTTATATGTATAGTGTTGCTATTCAGTTTGTGTCGACTTCGAAGTCATGACCTTTGGGTTGTTGAGTACT